GCGGTGAAAGCAATGAGGATTCCACCATTGAGGGTAACGAAAGGCCGCATTTTTTTTATCTTGGTGCAGAATTTTTTGTATGCTAGAACATTTTATTGCGTCAATTTGATCGTCCTGGTTCACATTGTGTTTTGGACTGCGGGCAGAGGGCGGATATGTATTTGCGAAAAATAGGTGAAATAAAAATGTGTTATATCTTTGCGAAAAAGCAGCGACGAAATATTTATGAAATATGTGCGAAGAAAATAAGAATTTTCACAAAATTTTCATTTTTTATTAAATATTTTTGTGGTCGAATTTGTTTGAACAAAATAATTTGGTCTCATATGGCTGAAATATTTACAAAATTTATGTATTTTTGAAAATATATATAAAATATTTACATATTTTTAAAATAATGGCGGAAATCTTGACATTAAAAACCTGGGAATATTTAACAATATCGCAAAAAATATTTCTAAATTTTTGTGATCTATGCGAGTTATACATCAACAAAGTTTTAGCGTCAGTCGTCATCAAATGAAGAAAAAAGTTGAAAATAAATGCATATCCGGCCTCTGTCTGTTAGTGATCCGTGTGGGTGGGTGATTTAATTCGTTTCTGAGTGGGTGGGGCTTGTTTTTTGGAGGATCTCTCCTCCATGGTCGGAAAATTAGATGGATGGATAGAAATGCCTTCTTGGCCGGAAAATTGAGCCTTTAAGTGATCCATCTGGATTTGTAAGAAATTGGAGAAAGTTGAGGTGTAGGAGGACAGATTATCTCAATTTAATACGTTTTTTGTTTGTTTCTATTGTTGAGTGGGTGAAAGTTCAAGGGTCGCGTGTGCTATAAATGCAACAACTTTCTCCTCAAAGTACGAATCACTTGAGTACATACGTTAACATTTTGTTGTTACCGAAATTTGTGTACTTACAAGACAACAGAGCATATTTTGTTTGAAAATCCACAGATTATCTCAATTTAATGTTGTTTTTGTAGTAGTTTCGATTATTTGGGTGGGTGAAAGTTTAAGCGTCGCTTGTGTCATAAATATGATAACTTTCTCCTCATCAAGAGAAATGCGTGCTTATTACTTGCATCAACTTTTCGTATCTCTAGATAAGAAAAAACGCAAACAGCTGTTTATTTATAATAGAACATAGCGTACTTTGTTAGACAATTGTTTTTTCCGGAAAGGAATTTTATGACTGAAAGAAAGAAAACGAACTAAAATTCGGGTTTCTCATCCGTAAATTTTCACAAAACCTGAAATGCATTTAAATTCAATGAGCTCTCCCCTTTTTATGCGGCATCTTAGTAACTATACAAATTTATAAAAGTGAAGGACTTTCTCTCCATTATTTGCAAAGAAAACGTATGCGTTTTACTGCTTTTATGTCCTTTCTCCTGGACACAAAAGGTGCTCCTCTTGTCTTTAATTACTTAAGGAGAACAAAGAAACGCACAAGAGGACGAATAATTAATCTCCGCTCCTCAATCTGTCCCAGTTTCCACATTCTGACGAAAAGCAGGCTTCTTCCTTTGGTTAATTACCAACTTCAAACTTTCTCTAAAAATTTCCCTTTGACGGCAAGGGCACGAGTTATGAGTGGATGGAGTCAAATTGACTGAATTTCACGTCCCATAAAATTCCCGGTGCAAAATTCCGTCTAAATTCATTACAAAGATAACTCTGTTTTATTTCAGAAAGGTAAACGAGACATAATTTCCCTTGAGACAGGAGGAGCAAAAACATGTTAATGGATCGTTTTATGTATCTGTTTGTTTCTTTATTTTTTATGAGCTCTATATTTTCATGGGAATTTTGCATACAAGTTTTTTCCATGCATTTTTGCAAAATTCGTATAGATTGGTATGTAACTTGGTAGGTAATGTTCATTACGACGGTGACCTTTTTTGATACATAGGAAAAATATAACTCAATATCTCCCTGAAATTTTTGCATACGGTTTTTTTTACAAATTGGAGATATTCTTGATTTACAGCTCATTTGACGTTACGTTCGAACATGTTTTTTCACATATTTTTGCAAGTTTGTTTGCAACGTGATCCTCATGAATACAATGAGCTTTTTGACGTAATCGGATTATGTAAGGAATCAAAGAGCTCACATTTTTCGAGGAGATGAAAGTGAGAATTAGGTAAACATGTAAGTGGTAAATATTTTTGGGTTACAGGATGACGAGTCTCCTAATGAAACGATATCAAAGAAAACATTTCGGTTACCTGAACCGAATATGTAAAGCTTCATTTTCAAAAACATAAGCTTTGCAAGTTCCAATATCGCATTCATTTCGAAAAAATGTGATATTAAAGAATATTTCTTTCCAATTTCGCAATAATAACGAATCGGAGCCAACTTTGCCAGACCAATCTGTTCCTACCGAAAATATAAAATATACTTACGCTAAATCTACAAACGACTTTTAGTAATTACACTGATTTTTTTCTACAGTTAAGAAGTTTGCACTCATTTTAAAGCGAAAATTCATATTTTGCAAATCAATTTTCTTCTGGAGAGGGTTTTAAAAAATCGTCCAATAGTAGTGTCGGAATGACAGATAGGCTCGACTAGAGCTAAATCAAGGCTTAATAATATCGGAAGTTGAAGTTATTAAGGTGATAGCCACTAGGAAATCAGTAACGGTAAAAACAATCACGTCGGATCTAATAAAAACTGTAAACTCGGTTTATTTTAATACGCTCAAGTACAGCCAAATGTGTGTCCATTAATATTCATGAAACCGTATAATCGCGAGTAAAAGTATGATAAAAGTGTGATTGAGCTTTCTTGAATTTTTTCAGTATTTTTAAGAAAATAAGCCAAAAAATTGAGTCTTACATAACAGGTGTAATACTCTAGAGTTTGCTGATAATATGAGAAAAAACGGAAGGCCAGCTACATATTTATGTAACTTTCAACCAAGTCAGAGTTACGTATGTTACACTCCAAAGTTTTATTACTTTGTTTTACTTCCAACTTTGCCTAATATACATCAGTGCAAATTTTGATCAGTTCGGTTCGGTCGTATCTGAAAGGACGGATAGACATGACGATTCCATAAGTCTTGACTTGGGCTATTTAGAAATACGCCAATATTTCAACAAACAAAAATGTGTTTAAAAATTTAACTACAAAAATAGTTATCGAACTCACTCATGAAACTTAGGAAAAATAAATGTAATTATTCCACGCCATTTGTCAGTTTTACGAATATTGCATACTCAAAAATTAGGTTAAGGTCTAAGGTGATGTTGAAGTTCCTGGAAATTTGGTACTTGAAGTTAAAAAGTAGCTAAATATATTTTTTATTTAACAATTCCTGGATTGTCATTTTTTTTAAAAATATTTCGTCCATATTTCTCTAACATTTGCATGATAAAAATTGTTAAAACATACATAAAATACAGTGTGAAAACAATCTTTTTTTCAAATTCTTAACACATTAGCCTGCCAAAAACACGCTATCAACTAAAAAATTATTTGGAAAAAATCCCCAAAAATTAAACCCTTTGTAACCATTAAATACAAATTTCCTCATTTTTTCATAAACACGTAACCGCCGCATGATTATAATCTTTCCCATTCAATCTCTCTCTCGATTGCCAAAATTATCCATCTTTCCGTTAAAACAATCCTTCTTTTTTCTAATTCTTAATACACAATCCTGCCAAAAACAGTACGTACATAGATGCACACGCCATCAAGCAAACATAATAGACCCGTTGTATCCTAATAGCTTACATACATAGAATTTTATTGTAATCGCGGTGGCAAAGAGTTAATTTACGTGTATCCACATTTATTTGTGGCTTAATGTGTGAACAGGCATGGCAAAAAACTTATCAGTCTATAGCCACATTACATTACATTACGTAATGGTTGGCTTTGTTCTGTTGGAACATATTCGTGCTCATGTTTTCGGATAAGAGTCGGTATGAGCCACCAGACCACTTGTTATTTTTTGCCATGGGTTAAAAACTTGTCTGACTTGTACACACTCTTCTTGGCTTGGAGTTCCATTGCTTGGCTGGATATCTGCGAAACACATGTGTTCACGTTGGGCTTAAAGAGACACTTTTTTTAACTCACTAACTAACTAACTAGTGTGCTTGTAGCTCGTAAAAGTTTTAGTGAGAAATTTGAAATTTCTCGTGTAAAGTTTGAGATTTCAACATCTAATTTTAATGATTTTGCAGTGTAAAAAGACAAAAATTTTATGTGCAGGGTTCGATTTAATCAAATAACAAAACTATTAAGGATCACGTGTAGGGTTTAAAGAGACTCTTTAAAGCTTTAGTGATAAATTTCTCGTAAAAAATATCGTGGGAATGAAAATCATAAAACTGAAGCATTTGATAAATCCCAGATCTAATTTAAAAGGGCTTGTTTAGTAAAAAGGTGACAATTTTATTTACGGAGTTCGACTTGATCAAATAAGTTTCTGAGGGATAAATAAATTTCTACATCAAACCAGCAAAACGGCGGACTTGCCCAGTTTCAGAAATATCTTTAGTCTAGTTTCCAGTGGGATATATAAAATTAAGAGGCACGGAATATTGGACAGGATCAAGAAATGTCGGAGGGGTAAATTCTGATTAGTTTCTTTTTTATTTTTTACTGACCGCTCTCACAAACAATTAATCTACTTTCACATTATATCTCATTTCTAAAAATTTTGATTAATCGGCGTCAAAATTTTTCACAAAAATTTGTAATTTCTTGAAATTACTAAATTTGTTCGTGTCTTGGTCTTGAAACATCCAAGTGCGAAATGTGGCATCGTATTTATAAGATCTGCAGTATGTACCTCGGGCCAAGGTTTCCAAATTTTAACCTATTCGAGATATTTATATAATTAACCCTGCAGAAATCCTTAAATCGACGTAAAATGTATACATAACTAAAAAAATTCCTGAAAAACATGCCACTCACAAAATTCTCAATTCATTTAAGTTGAAAAATTTCTCATTTTCCCCATTTTTTATCGTTTTCAGGAAGTTATGGGACTCTGTCTCTGGGCGAAAGTGGGAGCCTTCCTCTGGACTCGTTGAACGTGAGCAGTTCTTCTACTTCCTCCTCCTTCTCATCCCTCGCGGGGGGAGATGCTGTCCCCTTCATGAATTTTCCTTCTCCTTCTCAGGCCCCCGCCACCGCCACCTCGACCACCGCCACCACCACCACCACCACTCCCTCCTCTAAGGCCACACCCTCCAGTGCCGCCACCACCGCCGCCAACGCCACGACCACCACGACCGAGACCATGGCCCCTAGTCAGCACCACTTCCACACCCTCATGGTCCACCTGCACCACGGTCGCAGCCTCGTCGCCAGAGATGCCTGCGGTAATGACCTTCTTCTTACGTAATTATCCTCCTTAAGCGAAAGTTCGCCACCTCCTGGAGGGAAAAATGCACCCATTTCGCCACTTACTTTTTAGCCCGGGTAGTCAGGGCTTATGTACTCGTCGAGGTTGTCTGTCTGTCTGTCCATCGCTTCTGCTCGTAAAACTTGACTTTTACACACAAGGAGAACATACAAAATTAGGAACGTGAATGTTCGAAGATTAGCAAAATCTGTGGAAAAATCAAATAAACCAGAGCAAACTAAACGTAGGAATCGGGTGAAACAAGTAACACCCCCAAAATATGTGACCACATCCCCTGACCTCGAGGGGGGTGGTCCGATTGACGCTAAAAAAAATTGATAGAACCCTCCCCCTGGGGTCAGTCATCTTGCTGTCAGACAGACGGGGAAAGTCTTGGCTTAATAGAGTTTCATACACCTTATTACAAGTTGTAGTGATCATGTACCAAACTCACCTTAATAATTAATAGCAACCTGACTCGGGCTAAGGAAGGCCTGCACTCTGGGTTTTTAGAGACGGTGGAAGGAAAGCAATTGGTTAATGGGGAAGTTCTTAATGCACTTGTCGTGTCGGGTTCGTGTGGATCTTTGCTTTCATGTGATGCGCTCTTACGTAACAATAACACAAAGTTACGAGATTGATGACATGAATCGGTCCGTACATATAGTCACGTCCTCCACCACCGCACTTCCAGGAACCGCAGTGTGCAGTGTGATGGGTTTTGTTGATGGCAAAGATAGTGGGAGACGATAACAATAATAATCATAAAACTGGATCAAAGTTGGTGGAATTTAATGACGCGTGTCTCTCTTCGCAGCAGAATAAGAGTGCCTCGTTTGTTTCGCTACGAGGAGAATTGATGCAGATTGTGCTCGTAGAATTTTATGGTTTCATGACGGATTTCATGACATGTTTCTGGTTATAAGTGTTGCTCGTTTTGGGAGGAAAGTATATATGTAGATGCGTACATTAAGAACTATTTATTTCGCCTGTTTCATGACGGATTTCTGATTTTGGGTGATACAAATTGGCGAAATGTGGCAGATTTTGATACCTGGGAATTTTAATGGGAAATGAGAATATTTAGATGAATTTATGGGATTTTATGGTTTATGCTATGTTTCTGTGTTATTAATGTTGCTAGAAAATGAGCCGTGTATGAATTTATGCAGGATTTTAAAGGTGTTTTTGGTGGCACTTTGCAGGGAGCAGTGATCCGTACGTGAAAGTGAAAGTTGGGGATAAGCTGTTGTACAAGAGTAAAACGATAAATCGTGACCTCAACCCGACCTGGGATGAAATCTTCATCCTCCCCATCGTCGATATCAACCAGCACGTCATTTTCAAGGTAAATTCACCACCACACGTGTCAAATTACTCCCAAATTTCACACGTAAAATACATATCTCTGAAATTTCACACGCGTCAAACACCTCTCCAATTTGCACGTGTCAAATAACTTGGACACCTTGTCTGCCAGGTCTTCGACTACGACTGGGGCTTATCGGACGACTTTATGGGGATGACCTCCATCGACCCGGGCCGCCTCCCGCTCAACAAGCAGGCCGAATATTCCCTCATCCTCACAGAAACGAACACCCCCGGGACGGAGTACATGGGAGAAATCGTCATGAGTCTCACCCTCGTTCCTAGAACCCTAGAAGAAAAAGAGATTGTAAAATCCCAAATAAAAAATTCTCCAGAAAAAATGAAATTGTAAAATTTCCTTTTGTTTTTTTTTGTATAAAAACTAGTGGATGAGCGGCGACGGGCGATTTATCGATACGCAGAAACGTGCCAAATCTCAAGTCTGGTCTTCTGTGTTAACCGTCCTTATCATCGAGGCGAAAAACTTGTCCCCCGGTCCGGACAATTATGTGATGGATTCCTACGTCAAATTCCGGTAGGGACACTAATTGACCACTATTAATCTAGCTTTTTAATGTGTTCCCAGTTTAGGAAATATATCAGTTGAAATTTATCGATTAAAGAATCCACAAAAAAAAGTTAGGATTATTTCAAAAATAAAATGAACTCGTTAGCTCTGCCCGTTCAAAAGTTATTGAAGGGCAAAATTTGATTGAGCTGGTATAAAAAATTGGGATTATGAAGAATTTTGGCCTACAGTATTTTTTGAATGGCAGAGCTATACCGGATAAATTTTGAAATAATTCTAATTTTTTAGTGGATTTCTAACAAAAAAATCTGGACGAAAATATTTCACAAACTGAGAACACGTGTTAAAAAGCTTTTCGACATCCTGGCCACTCACTAACAATTAACAATTGTAAGTAATTAGATAATTCCTCTCGCATCCCCTTTTTTTGCAGGCTGGGCACGCAGAAATACAAAACGCGTACCGTTTCCCGTACCACGAATCCCAAGTGGTTGGAACAGTTTGACTTTTACTTGTACGAAGGCCAGCCTCAAATCCTGGACTTGCAGCTGTTTGACGAGGCCTTCAGCAAGGACTACATCGGCCGCGTGGCCATCGACATCGGCCTCCTCGAGAAGGAGAGGACGCACCAGAAGGAGCTCAAGTTGCAGGAGGGGAACGGTCAAGTCTTCCTCCTCCTCACCGTCTCGGGAACGCATGGGGTCGACTCCATCTCAGATCTCATCAACCACACGCCCTCCCCTGAGCAGGATGTCAAGTTGAGGGCCAAATATGTGAGCAAAATAATGATAACTCATTCAATAGCAGCAGAAATTTTCTAAAATGGGCAAAGAAATGTTTTCTGATTCATTACGAATTTTGGCACATTTATGGGAACATTTCGTTCAGAATTTGTAGAGAATTTTCTAGAAATGTCGCAAAATTCATAAAGAATTTGAAGACATGCCATTCTAAAATGTGCCAAAAAATGTCTCAAATTATGTAAAAAAATGTCTACGATTTCTGAATGAAGTGTCGTCAAATTCGTAGAAAATTCGGATTCTTAATGAATTTGGTGGCGCTTTCTTTACGAATTCTGAACGGGATATTCCCGAGCATGTACCCAAATCCGAAAATTCCGAGTTTCTGCTGATTTCACTATGTCCATTTTCATACCGAAATAACAATATCGCTTTTCTCACTCTGATTTGCTCCGTAGTCGTTGACCAACTCGCTCAACTCGTTCAGTGACGTGGGGACCTTGACCGTTAAAGTTTTTGAAGCCCAAGGCCTCGCTGCGTTGGACATTGGGGGCAAATCAGACCCATTCGTAGTCCTTGAGCTGGTCAATGCTCGCCTACAGGTAAGAAGGAATAAATATCAACTTTTAAATTTCTGGGAAACATTTCCTATGCATTTTTTTTCGAACCGTAAACGTCAAATCAAGTGCAAAATTTATATTTCTGACCAACTTTCTCTTCACTTTCCACTATTTCCAGACTCAAAATGAGTACAAAGATTTATATTTCTGACGATCTTTCTCTTAATTTTTCCGCACATATATTTCCAGGCTGAAAATGAGTTTGGAACCTACAAGATTTATATTTCCGAACAACTTTCTCTTAACTTTCCCCTCTTTTCAGACCCAAACTGAGTACCGAACCTTGAACCCGATCTGGAACAAGATTTTCACCTTCGCAGTGAAGGATTTCACCTCAATTTTGGACCTCACCGTGTTCGACGAGGACAAAAACCACAAGCAGGAATTCCTCGGCCGACTTTCCCTCCCACTCTGGGAAATCAAGAATGGCGAGAAAAAATGGCATTTGCTCAAAGATCGCAAACTTCTCAGACTAGCGGCTGGAAACTGCCCAAAGATTTTGCTCGAACTCAGCGTCCACTGGAATCCGGTAAGGCGGAAATTTTACTATAAATTTCCGAACCAATTTTGACTAAATGAATGAATGAATGAATAAATAACAGCTACGAGCCGCGGTTCGTGTCCTGGATCCACCCGAGGCCAAATTACTCGTTGCTAATCAAGGTTTCCGCAGGGAAACTTTCCTCCTCAATATTGATCGTCTTAAAAGAATTGGGATCGGGATTTATGACATTATCCAGTATTTAGAGTGAGACTGTTTTATCTCATTTACAAATTTCTCCTTTCAATTGTCAAATTTTCACACCCATTATCAAAATTTCGACCCTAATTAATTTTATCGCTAATTTTATTATAATCAAATTAAATAGCTAAATTTTCATGAAAAGTATAAAATTTCCCTTGAATCGTTAAAGTTGTACCTAAACCTTTACCAAAGTTATCAAAATTCCATTTAAAATATCAAAATTTTCCCCCAATCATCAAAATTTCACTCAATTTATCAAACCTTTGTTTAAATTATAAACACTTCAATTAAAATTGCAAAATGTTTCCCAAAGTTATCAAAATTTCACTTATCTTATCAAAATTCTGGCCTAACTCGCTTACTTTTGCTTACTTTTTAAAGGAGCTGTTTGGACTGGGAGTCGCCCGTGCGGAGCGTCATAGCCCTCGTGACGTACCAAGTGATCTGTTACACCTTCCAACCCTGCATGCTCCCCTTGTTCGTCCTCCTCTTCATGTTTCGACAGTGGTTTGTAAGTCATTTAAGTCATTTACTTTCAGAAATCTATCTCGAGATAAATTCCCGTGCTCAATAAAAATCCCCGTTTTCCCCCCAGCTCGGCTCCGTCCTCGGACGCCCCCTGCATGACGAAGATCTCGTCTCCGTCGACGAAAACATCCTCGACGACGATGACGACGACAAAGATGAGGACGACCAAGTCAAAAAGTTAAGCTTACGACAAAAACTGCAAGCCGTGCAGGAAGCGACGCAAACCTTGCAGAATGTCTTGGGCGATATTGCATCCACGTTTGAATCCGCGAAAAAGTAAGATGATAAGCATTAATTTGTGATCATTCTAGGGCTGGGAAAATTACTGTGTCGAAAATACAGTGTTTTGCTCACAGGGTTCAAAATAGTCTAAACTTTGGACAAAATGTTTTGCCCATCGCTTATCATTAATTTTCCCTTGCAGCACTTTTCGCATGAAAATCCCCTTCATCACGTGGCTCGTCGTGGTGGCGCTTATCCTGGGCACGGTGATCCTGTACTTCGTCCCGGTCCGGTATTTAGCCATGGCGTACGGATTCCACAAATTCTTTAAGCCAATCCTCCGGCCAAACGCGGTCCCAACGAATGAGCTGTACAACATTGTCCTTCGTGTCCCAGACAATTTGCAGTTGGTACGTGCATGCATACATCATTTGCATATTAATCTTCCATGCGGTGGATTCGTGGAGACTTTCTAACATTTGTAATTTAATAGTTGCGTTGAGATCATTTGCTTCAAATGAACCTAAAAATGAGGATTATCCAGCATTTAACAGGTTATCATCGGTTTGAGAAATGTATCCCCTGAGATTTGATTTAGTAAAAATCCACCCAAAAATTGGGATTATTTCAAAAATAAAATGAACTCGGTAGCTCTGCCCGTTCAGAAGTTATTGAAGGTCAAAATTTTATTGAGATGATAGAAAAACCTACAGTCTCAGTGCAGACTCTAATTAGCTCGAGGTTGATAATGGCTTATCATAGAAAAAAAATGAATTCAAGTTGGAAGAATTTTCATCTTGAGGGACCCCATGGGGTGATCAACCATACTGATTTTTCAAAATCATCCAATCGAGGTGAAATTTGGTGAAGAGGTAGCTTACGGTTGCTTAATGGAAGAATACGAAATGATAAAACACGGTCGTGGCGATAAGCGCAGTATACACACATGTCGATAACTCTAAGGAAGAGATTGTGTCCAAAAATTGTGAAAATCGGATAAGAAATATAAGTCATGGCGAAAAAAGGTTTGAGATTTGAGACAAGTTGTTGCGGTGCAGCAGTGAAATTTGGTTGCAACTTTGGACGAAAAGTGAGAATCTGCACGGCAATCGAACTCGTCAAATCGCTTCCCTCTCAAAATTTCCGTCTCAGAATTTTGAGATGGAAGCGATTTGACGAGGTCAATGGCCTTGCAGATTCTCACTTTTCGTCCAAAGTTGCAACCAAATTTCACTGCTGCACCGCAACAACTCTCAACTCTTATTTTCGCCATAACTTATCCATTTCTCGTCCGATTTTCACCATTTTGAACACAATCTTCTCCCTAGAGTTATCGACATGTTTTCATACTGCGCTTATCGCCACGACCGTGTTTTATCATTTCGTATTCTTGCATTATAAGGCCCACTAGCAATCTCTCTACGAAATTTCAGCTTTCTACGATAATTTTGAAGTTTTGGGGGCATAATTCTACATCCCCACCCACTCCGATGACCCCCACGGGTCAACCACTTGACCGGTTTCGCCCATCTTCGAACTCGTTTCCTAACTTTGCCCAATATGGGAAAAATTTCGAGTCAATCGGTTCAACCTTTTTTGGTTCTATCGTGCCGGACAGACGGACATAACGGTTCCATAAGCCCTGACTCGGGTTAAAATCGGGAAACTTTAACCTTTAAACGAGCAGAGCTACCGAGTTAATTAAGTTTTTGAAAAATAATCATAAGGTTTGGGGCTGATTTATAACCAAAAAATTTCTACGGACATACCAAACCAATGATAACACGCCTGTCTACGAAGCCACCGCAACATAGATAAGATTAAGGTCATCTCGATAAGCTGATATCCTTCGCAGATTTACTATCGTCCCCTCAACCCCGCGTCGACTTCGCCGAGCCGCTCAGCCAAACCGAGCTCGGCGGGAGAGCGGAGTAAAAGTCCTCCCGGCGCGACGGGGTCAGGGTCCAAGTCGACGTCGAAAAGCGTGATCCGCGGCGACAGTGGCGACGCCGGTGGAGGAAGTTCTTCCGGCTCCATTGGCAAAGAACCCAAGAAAAAGTTCAAGTTTTGGTAATGGATTTTCGAAATTATTCAAATTTTTATTCAGAAAATTTGATAAGCTTTCGAAAAATGAAATTATTAAACTTGAATGAAATCAATCAACCAAAGTGATGAAGAAATTATTAAAATTTAATCCAATTTCAATCAATAATTTAAATGTTTGATAAATTTTCGAAAAAAGTGTGGATAAGAAATTATTAAAATTTAAATAATCTAGTCAATATTTAAAACAATTATATGATAAAATTTTGAAAAATTACTAAGATATTCCGAAATTTCAATCATTAATTAATTACCTGTGTCAATCTCTAAATGTCTCATATTCCTGGAAATCTCTCGTAATTAATTAATTAATTAATTAAGTATTTAATGTATTTAACAAACATTGATTCAATTATCCGAGCCGAATAATTAATCAAGTATTACAATTAATTAAAATTGGTGGAAATTATCTTCAGGAAATGCTTATCGAATAAGACTTATTATTTAATTATGTGTGTAAATTATAGTCAGGTAATTCTACCACTCCAAAAATTTCATCTTTAAAATTAATTGGGTAACTTAATTTTTATAAATAAATTAATTAGGCATTAAACTATAGGAATTATTACAATTAATTATTATAAATGTAAATAAGTCAAGAGTATTTATTACCAGTCGTGATTTTATCAAAAAACAAAGTCTGAATTAAAATGTGTTATCTTTTAGAAAGATTAATTAATTAATTAATTAATTAAATCTAATTAAAACTGAGCAGATTGCATGCTAGTAGTTCGTTCGTACTATTACCTTTTAAGAAGCATTAGCAAATGTACATAAAATTGCTATGCATGCGCATTTACATATTTACATGTTGTTCGTCTCCTTATCAAAATGATAACTAGAGTTACCACGTATTCTTATCCAATTTTATGTGGTTATCAATTAATTAAATGAGTTACCCTTGAAATCAAGCATATCATTTTACACCGAGAAAAATGAATGTATAAAAAATATCAAATTTTTCAGCCATGCTTAAACATTTCCTCAATTTTTTTTGCGAATTGTTCAAATTTTACACATATTTTTCCTGAATAATTATTCAAATTTAATCCATATTTTTCCAATTTTTAAAAATTATTTATTAATTATGTATTTAAAAAACTTTACTCTTTTGCATATCCTGAAATTATACATACCAAGATAAAGCTAAATTCGTGGTAAAATAGGATAAGTGTGTAGTTTCACTCATTGTCCTTTCAATCTCAGATAAGCTTAAGATGCTAACCGTGTGTCTCACTAATTATTATTCCAAGTATTATGCACAAATTCTGTTAGTTAATCAGTTTTTCATTTCGACATTTCGACTTTCCATCTCAATCCGGTTAAAAATTTGTGATACTTAAAAGCCATTTGCGTTTCTTGTTTCATATTATTATTCCTATTTTATTTTCTTTCTGCAAAGTAAAATAGGAAAAAGTGCAACTTTTAAAAAATTTGTGTACCTGCTTTCTCTCGCTGTACTTACATAATTATAAAAATTAAGATAATTTATATTGAGAATTGTAACAATTAGATCTTACTGAACATGGAAATGATAATTAAATGTATGTAAAAAGTGTTATCGTAAATTAATTCAAAGTGAAGTCTTATCTCGTGTACAAAAAAAATTATGTACAACAAAACTACAGACAGAGAACTTTTTGAGATTTTTGCCACGTTCCAAAAAGAAATTACCAAGAAAATTATGCTTATCGTACCATAACCGCGACAATTATGCAATGACGACAATTATGTAATGGTGACAATTTGTTAAAGTGTGTATATGTAAATGGACCCTGCGTACAGAGTGTGATCGCTTTTCTTAAAATTTTGACCTCTGATAAGATACCACCAAAAAAACAATCACATCCTTGACGGAGGGTCCCTTTAAATATGTAAATCTGGAAACTTATGTTAACTTAACTTATTTATACTAAATATATTTCTAGAGAAAGCAAAGCTGAATGAATTTAATTGACAATTTAGATATGCATTATGTAAATTCATGCCGAGCACTGTTGTATTTTCGTATCAAAGTCTAAATGTTGACGTAATTAGTTAGATTATAAATGTTGTTAATTATTCACGAGAAGAGTTCACGTGGTTTTTAATCTTTGAGCTTTAATTAAAGTTCGTAAAAATGAATGTTTAACAAGTTATATATCGTCTTGTTTTGCATTTGTGTAACTATAAATTTTTTTATGGAAATGTTTCTCACTCATTTTACAGAAATTTATATACAAATTACAAATTACAAAATGATATTAACGAAACGACAGAAGTGGAAAGGAAAAGATTGGAAATTATTGTGATTTTAGTTTTTGTACTACAAAACAAAACTATAATTGTTATTGTTGTGTATTTAATAAGTGTTGAGCTGTTATTGGTTTGTTATCGGTGTGGAAAATAAATACATAAAAAATCGTGTGGAAAATCAAAGAAAAAGTGTTAGGAAATCTCCATTTCTTTTAAAAATCATATCGATATTTTACCACGAAAATAAGTTTCAATTTGTAATGAATTGATTTCTGTTGACACATGAATAAAGGATTAAAAACAACAACAGTTTTATTTTTGCATGATTTTTGCATGATCGATGCAAAATTTTGACATCTAAATGGTCTTTGAGTAATAAGTTATGATTAATTTTTCCGAATGAAATTATCACCTGGGTTCAAAATTCACATACACAAAAAACCACTCGTGTTGAAGCATTTTAAGTTTAGCATGTTTGTGTACTTATATTTTTGAAGAAATTTGAACACCAATAAGTTTCCTACTTTTCACTCAAACTAATCAATCAGTAATATAACAAAAGCTTTAATTTAGCCATGTTTAGCCATCGTTTCAAAATTTGCAGGGTCCCATTTCTCGCTTGCTGCAGGGACGCTGAATCTTGAGTTGAGTCATACGCGTATAAATCGTCACAGTGAGACCCTCCTAAAAAAATTGTACCAAAATTTGAACACTTTGCTACAACAAACTTTTCAAAATTCTATTTCAGCAAAAATTACAAAATTTTAGTTCTAAATTCTGTTTTAAATAAATTCTGTGCAAAAATCTTTGCCAAAATATCAAAAGTACATACTTTCAACGATGAACAAATCGTTATTATCATTCGGCCAGGACGCTTGAAATTGTGCACGCTTGGAATATCCCAGCCCAGCCACGGGGTCCGTGTTCCCGTTCAAATAGACCACGTGGCGTCGAAGGGTGGAATAACTCCCGAATTTTGCAGTATGCTGGTCCACCCGGAGACGAATGAATGCCTCGGTAAATCTGAAAATTATGTTTCTCTTTAAATTTCTGAAATTATTTTTATCGTAATTTTTTTGTAAACGTACAAACTTCCAAAAACACATTCACATTGAGCAACATAATGCGAGGCTGGAACGTATTGTCCGAACGGATGGCGTAGTCCGGATGAGGAGGCAAAAGTTGCTAAAAAATTCATAATAATATGCAAATTTATACCATCGATTAGCAAACGTATTCAAACTTTTAATTACATATTACCAAAATCACTGCAAACTTGCCTAAAATAAAAATTCATTTCCAAATTTTAAACTTCCAAATTATAAATTTCCAAAATATAAATATGAAATTGATATCCAAACTTGCCACATCCATTGTCGTGCTCCATACTTTGAGGCTTCATCCTCCGCCCCAGTTTGGGACATGAACGCACAGAAATTTTCCTGTAACGAATAAAAAAATCCAAATTGTTTGCCTTCTTGATAACAAATTTTGAAATTTTCTAGTTTTCATAAAACTATTCCTGACATTTTTTTAAAACTAGGTATGTAAAATTTCATATAAAATAATCATACACGACTACGACTAGGTACTCAATACGACTTTTTCACTGAAAAAAATGTTTCGAGGGCTTAAATTTGGTTTTAAAAATGTAAGAAAAAATGAATAATTTTGGTCAAAATTTGGACGTTTCGTTCTAAATTCGCTCACCACTTGTTGGTCGACACATGGCGAATTGTACAATCCGTGGGTCGCCGAGGTCATGATTTTTGCGAGGACTTCAAAGTCGCTTAAGCCCTCGATCTCCTTGTAGCTGAGGGTCGCATTGCACAGCGCGTCCAGATTGAAAGTTTCCGGAAGCGTGCTATTGTACTGGGCGATGTAGATAAAAAACTGCGTAATGTAGCTGTTCAGTTGGTAAATGTCCCCCGTTTTGTGCGCGTCCAGAGGGCTGCATAACCTTGGAGGGAAAAATTAGTAAGAAATTCCAATATTTTGTCATAATTGTAAAATTTTTCCGTCATAATTTGTCAAGCTGTCGTGCTGTTATTAATTTAAGATTTTCAAATTATTTCAAAACAATAATTTTTCATAATTTCAAAGCATACAAGTTAACAATTTTGTAACGTGATAAAAGAATTGAAATTTTTCAGCGAATAAGTGTTCGAGAAATATTCTACCATGAAAAATTCCAAATTTTCAAAATTTCATCTTTTTTAATTTTTTTCGATACTTGGACGCCTCTTATAAAATTTTTGTAAGAGGCGTATAACAATTTTATAATTTTGAAGATAAAGTTGTCGAGCACGCAATGATTTCTTCTAAAATGTATGAAAATTTCTATTCAAAATTGTATCCTTCTTTCACAGATGCTTTACCAATCCGTAGTTTATAAAGTTTGAAAAATATTTGTTCTCATAATTTCAACGCCAAATAAACGTCTCATTTCGCATCACAACCAATTTAGTAAAATTGTAGCCAAAAGTTTGCCATTTAAATAGCTCAAAAATTTGTCTAGTAAGAAGATTCGCAAAATATGATTTTACAAAGTCTGCTTTAATTTGGCTTCGACGAATTATTTGCAATTTTTAAAGAGAGGATGCGTTCCTGAAATAATCTTGTGAAATCAAAACATCCCCAGCTCCTGGGTAAATTTGCGAAACAACGAAACTTTTTCCAATAAAAGTTTTGTGGGATCTCTTAAATTTCGCAAGTTCTAATTTTGCGAGATATGCAAAGGTTAGCGAGCTTATTCTAATTATTTACAATTTTTTTCATAATTTCGACGCCGTATATGAAAAAACTTCAAAATTCGGATAAACTTTAAACTCCAAGATGACAAAAAAAATTTGGGGGGCGATAAGTAGTTGGAAAAAAAAGTATTAAAATTACGGAAATGTTCCCAATTCCACGTTGCATGGATTTGCGGGGTTTCCTCCGCCCGAAAGGGGGACGAATCCACACTGGTACGAGCTCTGCTGAATGATTCGATTCAGCGCCCGGACGCCGGACCCCAAAATATCCAAACACTTCGGATTCGTTACTTTTATCGAGGCTGCAGCCAGTTCGAGGTATTCTGGGCAAAAAGTTAATAATTTCAATTTTCTGAGCAAATCAACAATTTCAAAAAATACGACCATTTTCCGTTTTCCGATTTATGTACCTTTAAAATCGAAATGAAACCAAATCGGGGCTGATGACGCGACCCCGGCGGAAGCGAGTTGAGGGTAAAATTGGAGAAAATACGCGGCCAGAGAACCCGCATAGGATCCCCCGTAAACCACGACTTTGCTTTCCTACACATTTTCAGAAACTTATAAATACACATATAGTTACTTAAAAACATTTTAAAAATTTCAATATTTTCACAAGTTTTTTCAGAAGTTTCGGAAGCCCAGAATCTACTGATTGTTTTATTAATATTGTATTAAAAATATGAATTATTACTTTTTGACACTTGTTCAAAAGCATTTCTTCATGAAAGTCTACAAAATGTAAGCATTTTACTTAATATTTTCTCGAAACGTTTTCAGAGTTGTAATATGTTCGGAAACCTTTCATAAAATGGAAAAAGTGCTAAAAATCATGAATATTCTGCTCACCTCGAGATCGTACTTGGTCTTGATGTGTGTTACAAAATTGGCCAAGTCGTCCAATGCTTGCGGCATCGTGAGATATTGCAACGACGTCACAGTCGAGTCGCTAAAATTGTTACGAAAATCAAGTCATGCACAATTTCAGGATCAGCCAAGTGCAATTTTATGATAAGCTAGGACTCACTTTAAAGGCCAACTCTGTCCGTAAAAGCGATGCTCCAACGTGAAAGTGGCCGCTGCTTTAAGCGCTACGGCGTTCTCGGCCATTTCGCCATACGCCAAAAATCTCGGGTCTGCCTCCGCCTCGCCCCCGATGAAAATTAGGATCGGCCCGGATTCCGAGTACTTCGTAAAGTTGGTAAAGTAACGCTAAATTCAAGAGAAAATCAAGGATTAATCGGTGACCCAAATTAATTAATTATGCAAATGACTTCCGGTTATGAAGAGATCCGAGTGGTTAGCAAATTTGAGAAAGTAAGGCTAAATGTACACAAAAATAAGCAATGCACTTCCGGGTAGTATACACATTAATTATGCAAATGACTTCCGGTTATGAAAAGATCCAAGTTTTGTAAAGTAAGGCTGAATAAATACTAAAATCAGGGGATGCACCTTCGTGTATGCAAATTATTGACTTCTAATTACGCAAATATTTAAAATACCTGTGACCAGAGCGGAAATTTGGTCGGGTTTTGATGATCCACGGGCTGGAGGAGGTGCTCAATGGCCGCGTTTTTGGGCGCCTTCGTCCCCTCCCACGCCGTTTGGGTGGAGGCGTTCCTCTCACCGAATAATTTACCTCCGATGATCACAACCCTATTTCCGGAAGTGGAGGAAATGGTGAGGCTAATTGTTATCACCGAGATTAGCGCAATTTTGCAATGCATTGTGACACGAGTTCAAAAATATTTTCACAACGGGATATTTTAAAAGACTCTCAATGTTGACAAGTTGAGCTGTAAATGAGAAAAAAGGACACATAAATAATTGCACCTTTTTTGGGCGACCCTTTTTTACTGGGTTTATTTTTGGACGAAAAGGATTGAATAATCCCGTTATTTTTTAACCAAATTCGTGTAACGGGTAAAACATAAAAAGACGGTAAATTTGTGAGGGGACGACGCCGTTAGAAAAATTAGATAGCTTAATACTTTTAAATAATGGCGTCTCAGGTGTCTCTAAGTCAATGCAATTTATGAAAAATTAGAGGAACTATGTACCTACTTCATATTTACGAAAATTTAAATTTTCGAACATGGTTTGACTAAGTTATTACTTATCTTTAAGGTAAATACATATTTACAAAACAACGTGAATGTATGAAATTCCTGGCATTTTTCTATTAAAAAAATTTATCAATAAATATTCGCCAAATATTTATTTCAAATTATTTTGTTGTATTGATTTATATTTTGCATTCCAATTTTGCAACAAAAACACGTATATGAAATCAGTAAAAAATTTATGTATGAATTTTTCTCTAAAAAATGGTTGAAAAATAATTAACAGGTGAAAGGTTTCAAGTCACTTTTTTTTAAATTTACGTTAAACTTTTTACTTTGGTATTTCGCTTTCACTTCAATGCTTGCCAATTTTGCAATTTCGCAATTTCCATAATTTCGGTTTATTCTTTTTTCAAGTTTGAGGTGTACTAATTCTTTCCATTGATTTTTATTAAGATGCAAGTTTTTGAATTCCCGAAAACAATAAAACATACAAAGAAAAACTACTTTTTTGAACCTCGTCAAATTTTTGAATGCAATAAACGTCTAAAATTTTAATTTTATTTCAACATTTCCGAAAATTTAATCATCTAAAAACATTAAATCATAAGTATTATCATAATAAAATAAATTTCCTACAAGAAGAGTCGTCCCCCTCGGACGATGCTGACTTGTTCATCCGCAATCACAAACGGGGCCGCAGCATCGGTCGGTTCTACTTCCGGTCCGGTGAAGACCTCGAGCCCAAATTGGTACTGGACCACGTCGCCCCCGTTGCAGTAGAAGTTGACCCTTCTCTGAAGAATGTTGGTGGCTTGTTCCTCCAAAAATTTGGGGTATTCTGCAGTCACCTGGAACCAGTAATTCGTGCCCGATCGGAGCGCAGAGATGTACTTGTTATGCGCGTGGGACGACGCCGTCGTGTAGTTTACGTTGAACAGAGATCCTCTCCTAAAGACGACAAAATTTTAAATTAAAAAGGTAGGAAATTTTGGGAAAGTACGGCTTTGCAAAAATTCATAATTTTGAAAAATATATGTTTTTATGTATGAACATACCAAACTTCAGTGCTTGGGGGTAAAGTGGGGAGGAGGGGTTCAGCGAGGGTGACAGTGGTGTCAGAATCGATCCCAACGATGCCGCAAGGTTCTGTGGAGAAAGTTAGGGAAATCGTGGTTAAAAAAGTACAAAATTTTGCGAAAAAGTTGTAAAATTTGGCCAGGGTATGTTTTTAAATTCTAAAAATAATTATCAGGTAGGAATAAATGAAGATTTTGTAAAATAATGTGGGTACAATTTCTGGGTGAAAGTAAAGTGAAAGTTCTTGGGATATTCCTTCAACTACAATTTTTGAATGTGTAAAAAAAATCTGGAATGAAATTCAGCTTGTTGAAATTATGGACTGAAATTTTGGACTGAAATTCAGAAATTTTGTTACGAAATGAAATGCTAACAAGGTTTGTAACTTACGAGAAGGACCAACCGTTGTTGGTACTTCAGTAGTTGGTTCTTCGGTAGTTGGCTCCTCGGTAGTTGGTTCTTCCGTAGTTGGTTCTGGTTCTTCTGTCGTAGTAATTGGATCGTGGGTTGGCTCAACTTCCGGTATCTCTTCAGTAGTTGTCTCTGGTTCGGGTTCGGGCGTAGTAGTTGGTTCTTCAGTAGTTGGCTCCTCGGTAGTTGGTTCCTCTGTAGTTGGTTCCTCCGTAGTTGGCTCTTCAGTAGTTGGTTCTGGCTCGGCGGTAGTTGGTTCAGGTTCTGCAGTGGTTGGGGGATCCGTTTCTGGTTCGAGGGTGGTTGGAGGTTCACTGGGCTCAGGTTCCGGCGTGCCTGAAATATTTTAAAATTAAATGTCGATGTCCGAGATTTTAAAAAAATGGTCCGAAAGTTATCGTGAAGACAGACAGACGGACGGACAAATGGATGGGAAAAAGTACCTGGTGGGTGGACCGTAATGGTGGCGGTCGAGGTGGAAATGTGGGTCCCATCATCCGCGGTCAGAAGTGCGGTGTAGATTCCTTCTTCGAGGTTGTTGTCCACTAGAAACTCGACTTGGTAGCTGCATGAGGACAAAACAAGGTAATTTGAAAATCATCTTGAGGGGTGACTGATTTTTCAAAATTGTCATATCGAGCTGACATTTCGTAGAGAGGTTGCATATGGATCTTAATGCAAGAATACGAAATGATCAAACACCTGCGATAAGCGCAGTATGAAAACATGTCGACAACTCTAAGGAGAAGATTGTGTCAAAAATGGGGAAAATCGGATGAGAAATGGATAAGTTATGGCGAAAAAAGGTTTGAGATTTGAGGCAAGTTGTTGCGGTGCAGCAGTGAAATTTGGTTGCAACTTTGGACGAAAAGTGAGAATCTGCAAGGCCATTGACCTCGTCAAATCGCTTCCATCTCAAAATTCTGAGACGAAAATTTTGAGAGGGAAGCGATTTGACGAGTTCGATTGCCGTGCAGATTCTCACTTTTCACTGCTGCACCGCAACAACTTGTCTCAAATCTCAAACCTTTTTTCGCCATAACTTTGCCATTTCTCATCCGATTTACACCATTTTTGGACACAATCTCCTCCTTATAGTTGTCGACGTATTTGTATACTGCGCTTATCGCTACGATCGTGTTTGAATACAAATTGAACTAAGAATTATGAATTAGAATTATGGATTAGGCGAGATTATGACCTTGCGAATAATTGCGAACTCGATGACAAATGCTTATCGCACCCAGGCCACAAGATATATCCATTTTTATTTGCGCACTTTCGACCAAAATCTGAACTGTTTTTTACTTACTCGAACGACGCCGGACTTTCCAAAAGGGTCGAGCGGACAGTAAAATGTCGTGAACTTGAAGTAATGAAAACGTCAGCATTTGCAAATTCCACGTCCTTATCGGTAACCACGATGCCGGTCTTGACCACGGTGAAATCTCCGCTTGGGATCAGAGGAAGGAAGACAGAGACGTCATACTCGTCTTGGGAAAAGGCTGGCTGTACAAAAGAAATTCATTGTGCAAAAAAATTCGCAAAAACTGTACTATGCAAATCACTCACAGCATGATTATTCACGTCTGGAACTGGGATGACAAAAGTTACTCGAACATTTGTAGAATCGCTGCACGTCAAACTCACCGTCCTCCGGATTTCTTGGACTCTTTCGACAGTCACAAAACTCGAAAAGAGGTCCGTTACTGGAAAAAATCATGAAAAGAGATGTTTGCAAAAATATCAGGGAGAAATATTTTTGATAAAAAATTCAGAGAATTTTATTGCTACTATATCAATTATGAATTAATATGAACAAACCACTGAATCATACCAGCAAAAGTAGGTACTTGTTCAAATTTTCGTAAATAAAATTGCATAATATTATAAGAATCATTCATTAAACGGTTATGAAATGTACCAACTTGCAAAAATTTATAAAGATTGCTAAATTAATTGTCATAAATATTTAGGTAAGTAATACATTTAGCAAAATTGCCCTCTTACTTACCGTAGAGAACGTAGACGCCATTCGAGTACCGTAAGGCCCCCAAGTACTTGTTGAACGCATTGGACACCGTTGCCGTAGACGTCGTGTCGTAAAGTTGGAACGTACTAAAAAATAGATTGGCATACAATTTTTAAAAGTAATTACATTAATTCCGTACATTTGAACAATTGTGATAATTAATTATTAATTGTCCCTTCTTCACCCACCCAATTGTCTCATTGGTACCCGTACCCTCTGCCACGGGAGGTAGTTCAATCGTCGTAAGGCCAACGTGTCCCTCAAAACCACAATCTATTCATTAAAAATAAATTTTAAAATTCTGCAGCATTTGGAAAGTATTTCAAATCAATTTTCAAATTGTTCTTCCAAATTTTACTCACTTTGTCCAGCACTAACTCCGACCAGGAGTAGTACCAGGGACGCCACAGTTATGGAATTCATTTTTAATTTTCTTGGAGCTATCAAAATTTGCAAAAAATTGCCAATAATCAATAATCTCCTCGTCGCGACAAAAGTGAGCCCGACAGTGATCACGCACACCTAGTTATACAACAATTCCTTGACATTCATTCGTTTACATAATCCATCATATGGACATGACATGCAGATAACCTCTCACCGATCGGATAACCGAACGTCCCAATCAATTCAACAAAGCTCTCCACATTTGAATGACTATTATGCAAAAAAAATGCAATTTTTCATTCGCAAAATGGTCACTAAACTGATGACAATTAGATTGGACACACAAAATATTTTTCATGCAGAGCAAAACAAACTGCGATTGCGTCATGAATAAATTTGCATGCATTATTTGTTCCATTAAACCGTGTAAAGCTTGATCATTCGCATGTCACTCGGGTGGATAAGTTGTTATCTTAACCTGAACGATGAACCCATTAACTTGCATGGAACAATTCCATTTCTTTGTGCGTTTTTGCATGAATTTTGCCAAACCTCTGGTGGATGGGATTACCAAGTGTTAAACGTAAATTCGTCCGTCGTGACGCAAATCGTATCAATTACAGCGGCTGATAAATCAATCAATTAATACTCTCGTGAGCAATCAGTTATGCTCATCGTGTCAAAATTGACAGGAAGAATTTTAATTTTGACTGATTTATAATGGATTATGTATATTAATTGATAATGTATATTTTCTGTGAAATTTCGAGGAATTTTGAAGTCACAATTTGTATTTTTTGCAAGTAATAGTCGTTTGAAATTTTTTTTGTCATCAACTGGGAACATACTGAATTATATTGTTCAATTATGCGATGAAAATACTATGAACTATAAAGCATGATATGTTGTAGAAATGTATAAAGTCAGGTATTTCCCACTTGATGGGGTTTGATCTTATTCTGCTAAAAAAAATGTAATGGACTTCATGTTCCTGAGAAATTTGTGTGGTGAAAATTTTTCAAAATGATATCTAACGTGCCGCAAAAATTTATGATAGCATTTTAATTTTGATGCAAGTAATATAAAATTCATTTGTGCAAATGCATATAATAGTAAATCAACAACACTAAAATTAAAATGACCGTCCAAAAATGATAAAAATTATCACAAATCCAGGAACAAAATGAGAAAATCCATCTTAAAAAATTTCAAATAAAGTGTAAAACTACATAATTTCACTTTTCGATGTGTCAGCTACACAAATTCATTTTCTTCAAATTGTGACAAACTCTCAATTTTTCAATTGAGATTTCCCAGATTTCGATAGATTTTACCATTCAAGAAATACATAATTTTATAATTTTGTATGATTTTCACAAATTTTTAAAAAGTTTTCCATGAAATGTATACATACCTATGAAATATAGTTGGCACCTAAAGTATAATCTAATCCTTTCCTTCAAATTGAAACAAATGTACATAAATTATAGATACACAAATTCAGTTTCAATCTCATGAAAAAATTTAAAATTCCAATTTAATCAATTTACTAAACTCGTTGAATTTTCCTCATGAAATGTGATTTTCACTAATTTTCCATGAAATGTATTTTCATGCAATGTTATTTACGAGTAAACTATGACCAGTTTCTTCGGACAATTGTTCCATGAAATCGTAACAATTTTAATTGCAATTATTACTTGTATTACAATTTTTGGGACGCAATTCATGCATATTGCAAAAATTATGACTCTGAATTGAATGTCTCTACCATAAGGAGAAAACACCATCATTTTTTGCAAAGGAGAAACCTGATCCTCAGAAGAAAATATTATGAAATCTTATGAAATTTTTAAGACAAAATTTGTAAAATGATAACCCACGCAAGTTTTGTGAACAATTTTGAGAAAGTAATAGAAATCTATATTTGTAGTTACGAAAAGATATGCAAAATTCATGCAGATGCGTTCGTACGATTGACGATCGATGTCCGTGCATTAAAATCCTTCCACAAGATCATGAATTTGATCCCTCTAAGAATTTCTACATTGAAAATTCGATAACGTCACGTAAAACATGGTGACCTCGACCTTTTGATGCTAAAATTATCCTTATTTTCCAAGTCCTGCAACAGTTCGGGGTTTCCTATCGGTCGGCCCCACCCTCCAAAGAAGTTGGCCACATGGAAGGAGTATGTCGCGTCCCGAGAGACTGGCCTGTCGCACTGGTATTATCGCTATTTGCACCTTCTCGAGCGACCCGGACCCCCCAAATATCCCCCCGTTACCTTCATCAATGTCAGAACAAGGTGCGCTATAATAAAAACTATTCGAACATTTCTGATAATTTTCGATTCTATAAAATTTGCCAAAAATAAACTGAAATCTTGCCGAAACTCTACCAATCTACTGAAATTATGGTTTTAAGTAAATACTTATCCTACTAACTCGATTATGCAAATTACGTAGGAGTAATTAATTTTTAAAAGTATTACTGAAATAAGAGATTTGAAAACGTGATTATCTATTAAAATATTTCATGATTTTTTTGCCATTATCGACAATCAAGCAATGCAAAGTGCAATTAAAAAGCGTTGTTAATTCTGCAATTAATTTCGATTCTCATGAAACCTCTATCAATTAATTAGTTTTAAACTTTGCCATAAAATTACAAAAAAAAAATTGTGCTAAACAGGCTAAACTGCTAAATAAAATCAGAAAACGAAATTGGAATAATTTTCATAACAAATTTTATTGGTTGTCCCTTCCACGCCCGGAATACAAAGTGAAACGAGTTCTTATAACAATTATTATCAGGAAAGAATAAAAATATGTTTAGAACTGGATCATTTGTCCCTGAAAGAAAATAATAAAAACATATTTAGGAAACTTATGAATGGAGAAATTTCAACAAAAAATCGTGTCATTTTGTGTACAAATTTTACGCAAAAAGATTGACATTATAAAAACTTCTCCCAACATATGCTCTCAGATTGTGTCCATCAATCACAACTAATTTGCACACGATCTGCCAATGGTCAGGTTTGGCACAGATGCAAATACCTCCACCAAACTTGCGCATTGGGAGATCGTGCCTTTTGCAAATTCCATATTAATTAAGGTTCTGATCAGTTAACACTGGCTTGGTCAAAATCTGAGAGCATAGGATGAGAGCCTCCATTGTCCGTCGAATTGGAAATGACTTTCGGCAAAATTTAGACACATTATTATAATTTTATGTTGTTCGCTCACCTTGCGCTTCTTGTCTCCTCCCAACTCAAAATGTTTGCATCGCTTAAGGGGCATCTGCTGCCTATATTTGCATTCCGTACATTCCATACGGAGCACGATCTTCTTGGTAGTCTTAGCCTGTTATCAATCACAAAATAAGCACGATGAGCATCAAATAAGAACAAATAACTCGTCATTATCATGTAATCAAAGTTTTTAATTGCGTTTACCTTCTTTCTGAAGATAGGTTTAGTCTGACCTCCGTAGCCCTGTTGCTTTCGGTCGTAACGTCTCCTCCCTTGAGAGGCCGTCCTTTCCTTGGACTTCTTATATTGAGTTACCTTGTGCAACTTGTGGACCTTGCATTTTTTGCAGAAGGTCTTCCTCTGCTTAGGGATGTTAACCTGGATGACACAAATTATATCACATTATAGTTAAAATAAAGATAATTGCACTCAGAATATAATAGTACATCTTAAAATGTCAAATTTAAAGTATCAATCTTTCTGTTAGTCTCCAAGAACTAGAGCGACATTGCTAATTAATTTGCCACCCGTACCTTCCTACTTATCTGTCAAGTAATATGTGTGCAAATCTAATATTCATTCGCGATATAAAATAAACTACATCTCTAAAAAGTTTTACGTAATAATATATTTGCGAATTAAGGATTGCAAATTGTATCTTCAATTTTGTTGTCGTTTTTTCTGACTGGTAAAAACACTATCTAGCTAGACCTTATCATGAAGGAGGAAGTGGATAAAATAAAAATAAGATAAGCACTTACCATTTTTACAAAATAATTGGCAAAATCCGGAAAGTTATGAGAGAATGTCGACTCGAGTGAACTGCTGCGGCGTGCACGGCTCGGACTTCGACTTGAGCGAAACCGGTCGAGCGGGGTTGAATGAGATGAGACTTTGCTCACTGGGCAGTCTTTAGCCTCTCTCCCACACGAGCTGAGCAGAGAAAGTGCTTATCAAACACAAGTAAAAGTTTCTCCAGAGTTTCTCCAGGATGCCCCTGGAGAAATCTTATCTCATCTTATCTCATATTGTCTCATCTTATTCTTACGAGGACTTATCCTTGGACCTTATCCAATCAAGGATTGTGTAAACTTATGCGACAAATATGTGACAAAAATTCATACATTACAATTTGTATTCTTTGAAAAAAAAGTCTGCTCTTTAATTAATTAACATTTAAAATTAATTTAACAGTTTTAACAAATCGATAATACTTGAGTGGCGTTTCAAGTGATAAATTACTATTTTTTAATGTCAGTTCAATTGAAGAACCTCTGTTGAATTGAAGACGCAGCCGTGGAGGAGACTGCATACAGAGAAGACAGCAAATCTACTCCTCCTTCTCCGCCACTTGCAACAAATCCCCCCAAATTTTCGCCCTCCTGCATCAACTGAGGATAAGAGTTGTTGTTCGGGGTGGATGGATCAGCACGAATGTAGTCGTTCATATTCAGAGATCGGTTTCTTTGTGGGGATGGTTTCCTTATCGTGACCTGCGAAAATTCAAAGTATAATCAGTAAAATTAGACCAAAATCTTGACTTAGAATCCCCAAAAATTATGACAGTTTAATCAAAGCACAAAATTTGCAAATGGTGAACAAATAACCTGCTTCCTATTAGCATCCAATCCGCGCATGGGGAGTTTAATTTTCCAGGGTTTGCCGACATGGTACGAGTTGATGTGTTTGCGGAGATGATGAGCGCGGAGGAAGGCCATCTCGCAGTGGGGGCAGCCGTGCGGGCGAATGTTCTTGTGGCGCATCAAGTGCACTTTCAGCTGGCTTTTCAATGCGTACCTCTTCCCACACACGTCGCAGCTGAACGCCTTTTCCGCGGTGTGCGACAGCATGTGGCGCTAAAGAAAAGAAAGATTGCAAATTTTAGTCGAATTGATTGACAGAGTTTGTTAGCGTAGAACTCGATAACTCAATGTCAAAATTGTCAAATGGCCAAAATAAGCACATTTTTAATCATTGCTCGTCTCCGAGAATTTGGAAAATTCTCGACGAGAAATTTGAAGTCAGCAAGTAGTTCATTAATAGAATGGCCGATAGTTTTTCACCCATTTTCGATTATTCCAATTTTTATGAAAGCTTCTTAAACTTGAAGTCTCCCCTCCTTCAAAAACTGTCAAAATTTGCAGTGTATATTTTTTTAATTTACAACGAGAACGACAAGCTCTACAAATTTGGTGTCCAGAATTTTAAAATTTCTGAATTTCGGGGAAAGTTTTTCATGGGATTAATTTATACCTGGAGTCTGCAAGCCTCTGGGAACCGCTTGTCGCAGTGAGTGCAGGGAAACCTGTTCTGGAGTTGAGTGTGAGTTAGTTTTAGGTGTCGCCTCAGCGTTTCTTCCGAGCCTGGAATTGTGTACATAAGAAAAAATTATAACATACTCACAGGATTAAAATTAAGGTCAAACTTGTAATCAGAATAAAATTTCAATAATCTAAACTTTTATCTTAATCTTAATTTGATTTGAATTAAAAATTATCCTAAATCAATCTTAAATCTACGTATTAAAAACCTAATTGAACCTAGCACAATTTCAGAAATTTTTACGAATTACTGCTAAATTACATTACAAATTATCTGGGAAATAATTTGGAAAAACCTTAAAATTGGAATTGGAATAAATTCCATAAATCTAAACCTTCATATAAATTTAATATTTAAGATTAACCCAACAACTATTCAAAATCAGTTTCAAATCTAATCTAAACTCATAATGGAGATTGACAGAAATTCTCAAATTTTTAGTCATAAATTATTATACAAATTTTGACCAAATTAGAAAAAGCTCCTCACTGTAGGCTGATCCACAAATATGGCACGTAAACTTTGGCCTCTCATCCGGATGAAGGTGCGTCTCTTCATGTTTGTTCAAAGAAGTTTGCCCCTTGCACTGTTAACAATTAACAAAATACTTAATTAACAAATTAAAATTTGTAAGTTTTCAATTATTTCGCACCAATTTCCCACAGATTTGACACTGCAGAGTTGGAGGTTTGTTCGATTTTCGCTTCAATCCCGCAGCGAGGGCGGCTTTGACTTCGTCCTCGTTCTGGTGGCTCCAGCGGTGTCGCAACATCGCGGTGCGCGTGGTGAATGGTTTGTCGCAGATGTCGCAGGGAATATTGACGGCGCGCTCGTGAACGCTCAGAACGTGGGCAGCCAGGTTCTTCTCCGTCGCTAATTTCTTTGAGCAAATGTTACAGCGGAAGTCGGCTGGAAGTACAAATTAAATTAAAGTCTCCACAAAAAATTATGGCTGGAAAATTATGTGAAGAAAATCATTCCGGAAACGTAAAAGATTTAGGACAGATTTGTGTATGCAAATTGAGGAAATTACTGCACACAAAAATACAACTTGTAAGAAAATTCAAGTAGTGAAGACCTACTGAGATGGTAGTGGTTGATGTGTGTTTTTATGCGTCCCTTGTTCTTGGTTCCCTTGTCCCCGAGGGCTATGTGGAAGCAGATGCTGCACTGGAGGCCGGTTGGGTGTGGCGTCACCTCCACCCCGTCGTACCACATCCGCCCCGCCTTCTCGTCATACTTCCACTTGTTATAAGCCTCCGCCACGTGACCCTCCCTGATAAAAACGGGCCATGATAAGCACAAATTAATTAATCTAATCAACGTAGGAGTCGATGGTTCATAACCAAAATCGTGAAAATCAACATGTTTTTAAAAATTTCTCAGCTCTGGGAATTATTTTAAATGTCTGCAAGACAAATTTGTAGTCAGTAAGTTGATTAATGGAATAGTTGTGAGTTTGTAAGCCAATTTCGATGAGGTCTGATTTTTCGGAAGGCTTCCTAAACTTGAAATCTCATCTTTTACAAACTGCGAAAATCTGGAGTGTATATTCTTCCAAAAATTGACAATGACCTGCTCTACAAATTTGTCATCTAGAATTTTCATAGACATGTATACATACTTACTTAGAATTTTAGAATATAGGTATATATATATTAGATATATATATATATATTATATATATATATATATAGATTATAGATATATAGATTATATATATATATTATATATGTTATTTTAGAATATATATTTTAGAATATTTTAGAATTACTGAGAATTTTAGAATAAATTCCCAAAGCCGAGAAATGATTAGAAATGTGCTGATTTTAACCATTTTGGCCATAATAATAAGATAAAATAAAATAGTTCACATTTCAGAATCTGAATCAGATTCAATTTCCTGCTGAATTTCTTCTTCTTCGCCGTTCTTTTCCTCTGAGGCCTTCGTTTTTGCTCGGTTCGACTTTCTCTTCCATTTCGCCAACTTTTCTCGTTCTTGTCGAATGTCAAAGTCGGGATCTTTCCTGGAAGTACGAGGATTCGGGTCGTCGTCTTCTTCTGATGAAGATGACACAGACGAGTCACTCACAAAGGGACGCCTGGGAAGGCTCCTCATATAGGCGAGACGTTCCAAAGTATTGGGGCTTGCGGGACGACGTGGCGTTGTTTTCGCCGCAGGGACACTTGTCGACACTACCGTTTTTACTTCGCGGCAAACAGGAATAGATTTTCGGTTGCTTTTACGCACTGCATGTACAGCGGGGGTGGATTTGCGTGCCTTTTTCGAGGCAAGAGGTGGACGTGATGTCTTCACTTTGGGACCTTTTTTATTTTGAGGGACTTCTTGCAATAATTGCATCAAGGGATCGACTTCTTCCTTTAATTCAATGTCTAATTTCTGACTGGGGTCGAGACGTTCATCGTTCAGTGATGATAATGGATCGCTTGCTGGAAGGAGCAGGAATTCGGGGGGAAATTCGTTGTCGAAACCAAAGTCCTCCTGAAATTTTATTAATTGCTAATTGAATTTATGTGCATGTAAAATTAGTTGGATTTATTGACCGGAGACTGGTCAATCTCGGATTAAGATTATGCTTGGGGACTAATTAATCCCTATTCCCCAATCTCATACCAAAGATTTTAATATTTAATCGTTAATGCTTATCGCTAATCCGTCTCTCTGTTCATTGCTCACAAATAATTTACCTGCTTGATTATTACGTCCATCATATTATCATTATCCTGGTTATCATCATTCGGTGGCGAGAAGGAGACAAAATCCATGGATAAATTGTGCGACTTTTTCTTGGGCAATTTTGACGATTTTGTCGCCACCCTCTTCTTTTTCGTCTGGGGGGATAAAACATTACGAATTTCTGGTCGACGCCGTTTTCTCCCAGGTTTTACAGCCTTGCCGGACGATAAGACGTCTGTGGGGGAGACGGAGACTGAACTCTTTTCGAGGTTTTCATAGTTTGAGGCAAGAATTGAATCAAGGTTCGGTCGTCCTCGAAAAAGAATACTATTGTCGCATGAATCTAATTTCGATGTCGTCGGAAACACAAGTTTCCGGAAGTTAAGGATACGATCGTCACCCGATTGACCAGATGTCTTTGACTTGCCATCCACAACCGTAGAAATCAGCGTTTTTAATTCCACGATCCTTGCAGAATATTCAGTCTCGAGATTTTTCACTTGTTCCACAATCGTTCCTAAACGGTCTGCTATTCCGCTGCAGGTGCGACATAATGGTAGCATTTCCTATACAATCAGATAAGAGCATTAAATAAGTAAAACAAACATTCAACTTAATTAAACCAATTAGTAAAGACCTTCTCAAAATTCCAGCCCTGACATTTCGTCACTGTCAGTCTCAATGCGTCACAAAGATTTCGAAACCGTTGTGTGGATATCTTCTCGACGAGATTATTACGATAAGCGTCACCCAAAGTAAGTTCCGGACGGGGCAACTTTTCTCCGCAAGTTAGACAGCAATTTTGATTATCTCTGTGTTCTCCTCCTCCCTTGTCACAAATCCTGCTTTCTTCACTACTAACGTCCATATCGACAAGTGGAGATGATGACCCCTTTGCCGAGACTTCTTGCTTATCTTCTGTGATGATGGTAAGCCAGTAAGCCAACAAAATACCAAAAAAATTTCCCTAAAAAGCAACAACAATTTGTTGTCAACAAACAACTTTCTTCTCAAACACAGGATGAGATAACTCCGCATTTTTACCGCAATCCAAATGAAACCAAGATGCCCCAAAGTGCTCGAAAATCATGAATTAACGTAGGACTCGATGACTTGTCGCCAAAATGGTTAAAATCAGCACATTCTAAATCAATTCTCAGCTATGGGAATCTGGACGATGTAGAGCAGGTCGTTGCCAATTCTGTTAAGGACAGATTTTGACACTTTTTGAAGGAGATCTCAAGTTTGAGAAAAATTGGAACTCATCAAAATTGGCTTAAAAACCTTATCGCCATTCTATTTATCAATTTACTGACTACAAATTTTCGTCCAGAATGTTAGATAAATTTCCAGAGCCGAGAAATGATTAAAAAGGGGCTGATTTTGTCGATTTTACGTGATGAGTCCTTCGTTAATGCATTTCTTCATCGTTAATTAATCCACTGTGGATTATCCACATAAAAACTTTACTCATTCACGAAACTGTAAAGTGTACATAAAAAATTGGTAAAATTCGTATATGTGACTGACACTTAAATAAAGGTAAATTGAATTAAACTGTATAATTAATTAATCTACGGTAGTTGATGACCGTACGACGACGCGTATGAAAAAGGGTAACTTCCTCCGGCCCCATAACCAGAAAAGCTCATCCCAGAGGAACCGCTCGGCCCGTGCAGAGTCGTAATTATCCGTGGAACTGTGGTCGTCGTCGCGGCGTTGGACGACTCGCTCTCATTCGTGTCTTCATCCTCGTGATAAGTCGAGCTTTGATGAGGAGGGGTATTATTTTTTCGGATGTACCGCACCAACGCTTCCTGATGTGGAGGCGTCGTTGTGATGATGATGGGAAGACTCTGCGCCAAGGAGGAGGACGTCGTCATTGAAGTGACTGGTCGACGATCCCGTTTTTGTGGAGGCTGTGCAGAAAGTTGAAGTTAAAAAATTGGCAAACAATGTTGAATGTAGGTCTCCCAGCGTATGCCTTCCGATTTTGAGCAAATTGATGTCAATGGATCATAAATCTAATTATTATGGAATTTGCAAACGAACGATCTCCCAATGGTTTGGCAGAGATATTCACCTCCGAACAGGAGAAAACGCGGAAAGTAAATTTGGAAAGTGGAAAATTTGTCAGGGCACACTTTCTCCTCTTCGGATTAGTTCGGATGTAAATATCTCTGCTACACCTGAGAATTGGGAGATCGTTCGTTTGCAAATTCCATATTAATTAGATTTGTGATCCATTGACATTAATTTGCTCAAAATCGAATCGGAAGGCATATGCTGGGAGACCTCCATTTTAAGAAATTTTTAGTAGAAAAAATAGCACCTTTCTCGTTCCGTTTTCACTGCGGTAGGGTTGCTTTCTCTTGGGTGGGTTGGGATTGTCGTGATACGTGGCGACATGCCGGGCCAAATGATACCTGCGATAAAACTTCATTTCGCAATGGCTGCAGGGGTGGGGCCGGAAATTCTTGTGCTTGTAGATGTGCACTTTCAGCAGATTTCCGTTGATGAAGGTCGCTCCACATTCGGAACATTGGTAAGGCTTCTCTCCCGTATGGACCCGCATATGTTTCTGGATCAAACGGAGACAAAAATTTCAAAATTTTCTAAAAAAAATTTGGAATAATTTTGTGTGAAGGGGTACCTCGAGTAGACCAGATTGTGGATATTTCTTATCGCAGTAGGGACACCGCAACCACTGCAGTTTTGAATTGTTTTCGTGACGTAATCGAATATGTTGGCGAAGTGTTTCGGCTGCACCTGCGATTTAAAATTTTACAAATTGTTAATTTCTGGTAAAAATTCAGGGTCAAACTTTTCAAAATTCAGTCAAAAACTGCGGACTTACTGTAAATTGCTCCGCAAACTTGACACATGTGTTTTTTCCGCTCCTTCTCGTCGAGATGAATTTCCTCATGTTTCCTCAAATTGTAGGTTCCACGACACTTCAGAAACATAATATTTTGAGTCGTGCAAATTTTTAATTTCCCAATTTTACAAAATTTACCATTTTCCCACAAATTCCGCACTGCAAAGGTTCCAACTTATCGGACCCGTTGGAGTATCGTTTCCTCCCCGCAGCAACGGCGGCTTGCTTTTCTTCTTCATTCATGTGACTCCAACCGTGTCGTCGCTTAGCGTTTATGGAGGTGAATGGCTTCCCGCAAACGTCGCAGGGGTGATTCTCCGTCCTCTCGTGGACCGTCCGAACGTGAAGGTCCACACTTTTCTGGGTCGATAACTTCTTGGAGCAGACCGGACAGTGGAAATCGGCTGGAAATAGAAATTAATAATGTAGGAGGACTAGATGATGGTCAGAATTGGCATATTTGTAATTATCTCTCGGCTTTGGGAATTTATTTTAAAATTTTGAATGACACATTTGAAGAGCAGGTCGTTGTCAGTGTACAAAAATATACACTTAAGATTTTGAAATTTTTGCAGGAGGAGATCTCTTAAGTTGAAGAAGTGTTCAGAAAAATTGAAACTCGTCGAAACTGGTTTAAAAACCCACGGCAAAATTTTGAAAATATTTACTGAGGTGTTTGGTGTTGATGTGGGTTTTCATCCAAGACCGGTTTCTCTCCCCTTTGTCTCCTTCTGCGATATGGGGACAAAGGCTGCACTGTAATCCAGTCGGGATGAGAATCACTTCCACTGCGTTGTACCACATCCGCCCAGCTTTCTTGTCAATCTTCCACCGTCGTTTAGCCCCCTTCGCGACTTGACCTTCGCTCCTGCAATAATGGGGAAAATTATACAAATTTATAGAGATGCAATTAAAATTGTGTCCAAATTCAGATTTTTTAATTACCTGAATTCATCATCACTGGAGCTACGACTCCTTTTGGATTTCGAACGACGGGAACTTTTCTTTCGTCCCGAACCACCACTTTTTCGATTGACGGACGATACGTTTTCTTCAGCCACGTTGAAATCTGAGTCGTCGTCACTGGTCACCCCGTCATCTGCGGAGGAGGGGGGATCATAGTCGTCGTCGTACTCGTCATCTTCCTTAATAATTGCGGGTGATGATTTTTTTGCTACGTACTTACTCGATGGTTTACTAATTTTAGGGGGAGGAGGAGGAGGAGGGGATGGCGAAGAATCGCGAAGATGTGACCGCTTCGTGACCTGCCTTCTTGGACGGGTTGACACTCGTCCATCGTCGTCGTTGTCTTCACGTTTGTCTACGGATAGGAATTGTTCAAACTCTGTGAATGGGTCAATTTCCTGTTTTACTTGGACTTCTAATTTTTGACTGATGTCGATATCGCCGGTAATTTCGGGTGGGAGAATGGCCCGATGTGACTCGTCGCGATCTGAACAACTGAAATTCGCTTCCTGAAAATTCAAAATTTAAACAAAAATTATTAAAAATCATAGACGAGGGCAAATACTTTGTCATAATACATTATTTTGATTTCCGTTCGTCCCAGAGTTTCTGGGGCTATTGCCCCACGAAAAAAAAACGTGAATCTACGTGGAGACAGCAGTCATACGAAAATACAGGTTTTGCGAAGAAATCAACTTTCCATCGCTGTCAAAATACTTTATTCTTAAAAAGGTCACGAAAATCATAAATTTCGACAGCGATAAAAAGATAATTTCTTCACAAAACCTATAATTTCGTATGTCTTCTCCACGTAGATTGACGTCTTTTTGTGGGTGTAACAGCCCAGGAATTCCAATTCCCTGGGAGGAACGGAGATCAAATTCCTGTATTTTGAACATCAAGCATTTTGTCTATAAATCATTATAAACAAATTAAAACAAAAAATCACCTCTTTGACAAAGAAGGAATGTTTCGAAGTCTTTTCATCATCATCATCCTCACTGTCCAACCAACCTTTGAAATTGACTGAAAATTCATCCCCCGATTCTTTACCAGATTTCCGTTTATTCATACGACGAGGTTTGGATACTGAATTTTTGACCACTTTATTTTTTGACTTGGTGTTGAGACCTTGTTTTTGTTGGCGTCGTCGTTGAGGTTTTAGGTCTGGCACGGTTGCGTCGATATTTCTACGATTTGTGACCAGTACAGAATTCAGATTGGGTTTTGAGAAGAGTTTTGAGATGGGGAGGTCTTGTTTTCTGGGGCGACCGCGTTTCTTCTCGTGGGAGGAATTTTTGGTGGCTATAAGTTTCCGGAAATTAGTTATACGATCGTCTCCTCCTTGTCGTGGAGCAGAAGAAATTTGAGTCTTTAACGCTACTGTCATTGCAGAATATTCAGTCTCAAGATTTTTCACTTGTTCTACAATTGATCCTAAACGATCGGATATTTCGCCACAGGTGTGACACAGCGGGAGGGCTTCCTGTATAACCAAAATAGAGCAGTGAGTGAGTAACCAATTAATTAATTACCAATTACAATTACACAAACCTTTTCAAAATTCCACCCTTGACATTTCGTCACCGTCAGTCTCAATGCGTCGCAAAGATTTTGAAACCGTTGTGTGGATGTCGTCTTGACATGATTATTGTCTGCATCACCGGAACTGACTTGCTGAACAAGGGGCAACTTTTCTCCACAAATTAGACAAACCGAACAAAAAGTTTGTTCGTTATCTTCCACAATCGGATCAATTCCTAATTCTTCGTCTTCTTCCACAATCGAGGTGCCCGTGTCGACAGGGGGAGGAGATTGAGGAGGCGGAGGAGGAGATGTCACCTTCGCCCCTATCGAAACTTCTTCCTCCATCACCGATAAGCTGTCAGTTGATAAGGTATAAAACTTTTAAAAGTGGAAAGTCAAGCGAAACTCATCGTATAAACTTGAAACAGATAACAACAAATAAATACAAAAGTTAGTTATCGATTTTCGTAATTATTAAGCAGAGAACTGGTTCCTAAAAATTATGAACAAAAAACTTTAACACTTTTGAAGCTTGATCTATTTAAATTCAGAAAATTGCAAAAGTATTTTCGCAAGAAATATTAAATTAATTATGAATTCTTTTTCTCCCAATTTTCACATATGGCAAGAGATTCCAAGGCTTTAGGGACATTTTGAGATTTCACCAGTGCATTGTTATTTGCGACTTGTTTTTCATGAATGTTTCATGAATTTTATCCATGAAAGCTGTAAAAAGTATTAAAAATTATGCTAAAATTTCACTAATTATAAAATTTCAAGATAAGTTCTTCATAAATTAGATAAGACACACATTTGTCTTAGTATTTTGTAGTTCATTTTTATTTACACAAATTTTGAACGTCTCGAAAATGTTACATTTTTAAAAATATTTGTTAACCTTTTAAAAACGGATTCCACCAATAAGGTGGAGGGCGATTTCGATCTCTTGGCGACGGACTACACCAATAAGGTGTAGGCCAAATTTTTCGCCTTAGCGACGGACTACACCAATAAGGTGTAGGCCAACTTTTTCTCGTTGGCGACGGATTCCACCAATAAGGTGTATGGTTACAGAATTCCGTTGAGACCGGGCTACATCAATAAGGTGTAGGAAAAAATAAAAATAAAATGACCGAGAAAATTTTCTCAGTTCCATTCTTTCCTCCTTATTTGTCGTTGGTTTTTCTTCAAGCCTGAACTAATTTTTTTAGAGTTTAGAGTTGTAGTTGTAGTGGGGGGAGGAACTCGGAGGAAGTGCATCAGAGGTCACGCCGCGCCCCCGAAAAATTATCCAACATTGGCGCCGCTAATAAATTGGTCGGCGTTGACCTCTGACCTGTATCATGTTGTAAATATGATACAGTTCATATTTTTTTTAAATTATCACAACGTTCTCTTTAGCTAATATATTCGCAATAGTGTCACCACCGATCGGAACAAGTCACAGAACACTGAAGGACAAAATTATAGCTAATAACTTGTTTAAAATATAAAATGCATCCCAAAATCAGTGTCATCAAATTGATGACATGAATGATGACGATTTATTCGTTTAGTTTATTTTTGTAGTACTATCAAAATCAAATCCGATCTTTTTATCAAAATTAATATCGTGTGTTCATTTGGTTCAGTTGCAATTTCATGTTAAAAATGTATTATGTTCTAATTTTTGTTGTCGAATCAGTTCCAGGTCTCTAATAAATCATAACTGCATCAGTAGAATATTCAAAATCGGTTTGCATTAATTCAGTCCCCAACTGATTTTATCACCGCCCCACAAGTCGGTCTCAATGGTATTCTGCCCCCCAGTAAATCCGCCCCCAAATGCAATAGAAACCATTTTTAATTCCGTTTTTAAATGGTATCCAGGTCAAAATTAATTAGTTTTTATAAGGTTAATTTTTACAATTTTTAATTGGAAAATCAAATTATTTTTCGACGCCTCATTAGATTTAATACTCCATGAATTTCATACTTGATCAGCAAGATAAGCACCGGCCTTCAAATTTTAAAACTGTTTTGTGTCCAGAAATCGTTACCGTCGCGAAAATATTTCATTTGTTTTTTTCCTCTTTGATTTTTAATTACCACAAATTATTAGTGGGCATTTACGATTACAAAATGTGTACATTAGTTGAATTTCTCATGAATCAGGAAACATTTGCTGAATTATAAAGACAATTTTTAAAATGCATTTCATTTGCCCTCAAATAAATTTTATTTTTACGAAAGATTTAGAAATTTGCGAGAATATCGTCGCCGTAGATCCATAAGATACCAGGACGAAAACCAGTTGGGACCATAAAATACCAGGATGAAAACTAGTTGGGACCATAAAATACCAGGATGAAAACTAGTTGGGACCATAAAATACCAGGATGAAAACTAGTTGGGACCATAAGATACCAGGACGAAAACTAGTTGGGACCATAAGATACCAGGACGAAAACCAGTTGGGACCATAAAATACCAGGATGAAAACTAGTTGGGACCATAAAATACCAGGATGAAAACTAGTTGGGACCATAAAATACCAGGTTAAAAACCAGTTGGGACCATAACGTACCAAGTTTGTTTTTTTTGATTTTTCAGGACAGCGTGAAAACTCGAACCACATGATTGCTGGTTGAAGGAATATATCCACGTATTCAAGTATTGCTTTTTCCACTGTTTAATGTTCCGTGTAAATTTAAATTGCATCCAACAAATTTGAAATTTGGCATGAACATGTATGAATACATTGTTAATCATAATATGAGATCAATTCCCATTCCGATCGCTATGAATTTTTCAGGAAAAATCAAAAACCACATTTTTTTAAGTCTTTGATTTTTCCTGAAAAATTCATAGTGATCGGAACGGGAATTGATGTCATATTATGATTAACAAAATATTCATACATGTTTATGCCAAATTTCAAATTTTTTGGATGCAATTTAAATTTAAATTTAAATTAAATAGTGCCCAGATCGCATGGATTGGCAATCTTGCCACGATTTTTCCCGAGTGAGAGAAAGCAAAATCCTCCACATTTGACCACTTTTTGAATTTTAATACCTCTAAAAATACTTGGTCAATTAAAATTTTGTAAAAGCTACTTTGTGCGCAATTGAAACTCTCGGACGTAAAACAGCCTTCGCGACAATTTTTTGTAACATTCAACCTAGTTACATTTAAATATCGTTTTTGAAGAATTTTTAGTCCGAATCAAGGCTTATGGAACCGTCATGTCCGTCCGTCTGTCTGTCTGTCCGGCACGATAGAGCCAAAACGGCTGAACCGATTGACTTGAAATTTTTACCGTATGCATAATGGGAAAAGTTAGGAAACGAATTCGGATATGGGCGAAATCGGTCAAGTGGTTCACCAGTGGAGGTCAAAATTTTTATCTGGAGCGACCCGATGGGGTGACCCATACCGATTTTTAGAAATTGTTTAAAAAGATGAAATCCGGCACAATGATACTTAATGGCTTCTCATTAAAGAATATGAAGTTAAAAGTGAGCAAAGTGCCACCAGAGTGATTCATACTGATTTTTCAAAATAAGCCTGACTCGGGCTAAAATTTAAATTAAATTATTTTTACAAAGCGGTATTTAAATGTAACTAGGTTGAATTTTTTTTAATTGTCGCGAAGGCTGTTTTACATCCGAGCGTTTCAATTAACAAACCAATTTTTAGCAATTAAAATCTCAGTACGCCCCAAAACAGTCTTGGTATGTTATGGTTCCAACTGGTTTTCATACTGGTATTTTATGGTCCCAACTGGTTTTCGTCCTGGTACTTTATGGATCTACGGCGACGATATGTAAGTAGCACGCATTTCAAGTGTGGATTGATAAATGCATCTCCAGTTTTCCTACAATTTGATTAAATCTAACGGATTTCAATAAAATTTAGCATTTTCTTCTGTCTCAATTTGTGACTCACAATTCGCAAATCTTAATCGTCACGAAAATATGACATTTTTTTAATTAGTAAATAACTAAGACAAAAGTGTTGTACAGATTTTTTTGGAATTTGCATGACCGCACCCAACAGGACATGAATCTCAAATCCGTGTCGTTAATATCTTATTAAAAATTGAATTACGTTCATTTTTGCATCTTCTTCTCGATGAAGTATGTATGTATGCATAACGTGCTTAATGATGTTATTTAATTGCAAATATCGCATTTTTCATCATCATCTCACGTCAATCATCATCTTCTTGCATTTTATCTTATCTACTAACTAACTCTGCGTAGGAGAATTGTACAATGGCGAGGACACCAAAATTAATACCCAGCATTTTGGACATGAAAATAAATACCTGGCATTTTGGACATGAAAATATGTAAATGCCAGATATTTTGAGCAGGGGAATTAATGCCTTACATTTTAAGCATGACATTAATTTTAAATATTGGGATGGCATAAATTTTAATGCTTGGCAAAAATGGCAAGATGACTTGAGCATCACAAGTACAACTCTGCAGTCTCTTACAAAAAAGTCTTCATTTTACAGCCTTTTGTACATACAAAAGTACAATTGTCACAGCAAAGTCTTGACGCATTAACCGTGATTGATATTCGACGAGCCAATAGGAAAAGGTGTGGTCAAATCTGTGATCAGATTCTTTTCGTGACAAAAATTCCATCCACTCGATTTATGTATGTACATATATCGCTCGGCATGGTTTCATCGTCATTTTTGATCGTATGCATGCACTCATGGATGAGATGAGATTTTGATTTTTAAAGGAGCTGCATCCAGCAATTCATCATAAACAAATAAAAGAAGTGGACTTAACACATTCTATTTTTTTGTGTGCCAAAAGATGCAATTTTTATCGATTGAAGTTTTATGTAGTGAAGAAGACCTTGAAATTAGTCTCTGATCTAGTAAATATCTAAATGAATAGTTGTAGTCAAGAATTTTTGTGGTGAGTTGACAATTGGTGGATGGATACCTAAAAATGACAATTGTGGTTTTGTTGTGTACAGTGGCAGCAAGATAACCTTACCCCGCCGAATCTCAAGGCCATGCGCGCACAACGACAGGCTCGATCCCGGACAAATCGCCTAAAAAACAGGGTCTCGTTTTTACTCTAGTGACCTTAATATTTGACCTTTCGAGGTCAAACTTGGCACACACACTCACAACCATATTCCCCAGGGTGGTTTTCAAGGATTTTGACCTAGGTCACCTACGTGACCTTCCAGAAATTACCAAACTTTTTGCATAATATTTGGTTTTTACACTATAGTGACCGCAATAGTTGACCTTTTGAGGTCAAACTTGGCACACACACTCACAACCATATTCCCCAGGGTGGTTTTCAAGGATATTGACCTAGGTCACCTACGTGACCTTCCAGAAATTACCAAACTTTTTGCATAATATTTGGTTTTTACACTCTAGTGACGGTACTTTTTGACCTTTCGAGGTCATACTTGGCACACATATTGCCAAGCACATTCCCCAGGGTGGTTTTCAAGGATATTGGCCTAGGTTTTCAAGGAGGGACTACTAATCAGAAACGCTAGAAATAAATTAAATCGAGACTCAGGTATGGAAATAAACCCGATTTGGACATCACTACTCCTGCCCCTAGCACCAACGCTCATACGCCCAACTGCAATCCCGGTTACCCAGCGACCCCAATGATGTCAACAACTTGTCATCTCGTCTTATTTTGAAAATATTATCTTTCATGAAATTATTCCTATAATTTGCATGTACAATTTTACACCTGAAGAAGGGGGCAGTTGAACCCCGAAAGCTAGTGAATAAATCACTTCAAAAATGTCATCCATACGATCTGTTAATTCTACCACAAATATAAACTGCTAATATAATCAGCTGTTCTATTTTCATAAATCTTAAGTGTTTAAAAATTCGTAGGGTTTTTAAATGTGCAAATTTATTGAATTTATTTTTTTAAACTACTGTATAGTAATTGAAGGAGAAAATATTTATTTTTAACTGTAACAATGGATCCAATTTCAGTTTCAGTTTGCATTTAATCACACAAATTACTTTATTTACATACATATGTACATATGTATGTAATTATGTAGTTTATGATATTAGTATAAGTTTATTAATGATTTCGTTTGGATGCTTAACACTTTAAGTCAACTTTAATTTTTCTGGATGTTATTTTGGTTTCTATAATTATTTAATGTGCATTTACTTAAACCAGAATGCATGTCCAGTCCATAAGCTGACTCGGCTTATTGAGTCAAAACAAGCCGGCTTATTGAGTTGTGAGTCGAAGCAAGCCGAGTAAGAACCAAGCCGGCTTGCTTCGACTCACAACTCAATAAGCCGGCTTGCTGGCATCTCTAATATTTGGTTTTTACAATCTAGTAACCGTACTTTTTGACTTCTTGAGGTCATATTTGGCACACGGACTCGCAACCATATTCCCCAGGGTGGTTTTCAAGGATTTTGAGCTAGGTAGCTTCAGTGACCCCACAGAGGTCATTCACGTTTTACTTCCTCTGCGGGGTCACTGAAGTGACCTAGGTCAAAGTTCTTGAGAACCACCCTGGGGAATATGATAACTAGTGTGTGTGCCGAGTTTGAGATCAAAAGGTGAAGTATTACGGTCACTAGAGTGTAAAAACCAAATATCATGCAACAAGTTTGGTGATTTCTGGAAGGTCACGTAGGTGACCTAGGTCAAAATCCTTGAAAACTACCCTGGGGAATATGGTTGTGAGTGTGTGTGCCAAGTTTGACCTCAAAAGGTCAACTATTACAGTCAATAGAGTGTAAAAACCAAATATCATTCAACAAGTTTGGTAATTTCTGGAAGGTCACTCAAGGGACCTAGGTCAAAATCCTTGAAAACCACCCTGTAGAATATGGTTGTGAGTGTGTGTGCCAAGTTTGACCTCAAAAGGTCAAATATTAAGGTCACTTGAGTGTAAAAACCAAATATCATGCAAAAAGTTTGGTAATTTCTGGAAGGTCACTCAAGGGACCTTGGTCAAAATCCTTGAGAACCACCCTGGAGAATATGGTTGTGAGTGTGTGTGCCAAGTTTGACCTCAAAAGGTCAAATATTAAGGTCACTAGAGTGTAAAAACCAAATATCATGCAACAAGTTTGGTGATTTCTGGAAGGTCACTGAAGTGACCTAGGTCAAAATCCTTGAAAACCACTTTGGGGAATATGATCAGCAATGTGTGTGCCAAGTTTGACCTCAAAAGGTCAAATATTAAGGTCACTAGAGTGAAAACGAGACCCTGTTTTTTAGGCGATTTGTGCGGGATCGAGCCTGTCGTTGTGCGCGCATGGCCTTGAGATTCAGCGGGGTAAGGTTATCTTGCTGCCACTGTAAGAGTGACGCGTCTTGAGTGAGGCGACAATTGACCGCTGGGTGACAATTTGTAGGTTCTCATGTTTATCTATGAATAAATTAGTACCTGTTTCTGTAGAGTGGAAAAATGAGGTTAAATGTGATAAGCTATTTAATTGATCTGGATAATTTGTTACATAATATATTAGTTTAAGTGGTTTGTTTATTCTTGGAGAAAAATGTCGAAATTATAACAAATATTCAATTTAAAAGAAAAAATGCGAATTATGCCAAACTATTTAAATTATACTTTCGTTATACATTTTTGCTACACAAGTATGTAAAGAGCTGTATGAAACTCTTTTTCATGTAGAGTCTTCCTACGGAAGACCATGGGTTTCATGGTTAATTTTTAATCATAGACATAGACATAATTAATTTAAGTGCATGCAAATTTATAATCATTATTCTTTAAGTTTAGAACCCCATTTTTTGTCAAACTAAACTACGTTTTCACTACATTTTTACTACTCATTTTTGTATTTGTATGAAATTACTCTCTCTTTCATGTCGAGTCTTCCCACTGATGTTCATGGGTTTAATGATTAATTAATAGCTTTGAATGCTGATTTGATGATTTTTAGTTAATGTTCAAAATGCAAATTTTTCGCAAATTGATTATGTTATCGCTACAAGTATTTATGTATCTGTATGAAAATGCTCTACTTTACACGTGCACACTGAATGAATATTGGATGAAAAATGGACTGAAAATGAATAACAATGATGGGTTGAACCGACCCTGTCAATTTAAATAAGTGACTTGTTATCTAATTCTTCCCTCTACTTGCATATTCTACAAATGCCGACTTTTTCTCTCGAAATCAAATCTACAATCTAATAAATCGATCTCGTTATCGAATTCATTGTTTGACTGCCCCTTGTCTTTGTGTAACTGCATCTCCGCCAAAAAAAATGAATAGGTCACAAATTCACACAAATTCTTGCTAACTGTACATTCACATGTAACAAAATGATTGATTGTCCTGTTGGGTCTGAATAAGTTACGTATGTACCATCAGCAGAGGACGGATATATATTTACAAAAATCGTTGACATATATGTATTATAAATTGTTTAATATTTATGAAAAACACTAAAATATTACCGAAATATGTACAAAAACAAGAATTTTCAAAAAAATTGCATTTATTTTTTTAATTGGATCATCTGGATTTTTTGCAGTTGAATTTGTTTAAAAAAAATTTTCGTCTCACACCCACATCGACGAAATATTTACAACGTGCATGTGTTTTTGAAAAAAACATCTAACTATTTAAGTATTTTTCGAATAATACCGGAAATATTTACATGATTGAAAACCTCGAAATATGCAACACTATGTAAAAATATTTTGAAATTTTTGTACTCTATGCGAGTTATGGAACGCACCCACAAAGTTTGAGCGTCGGTCATCATCACGTGAAAAATAGAAGATAAGTACATATCCGTCCTCTGAGCATGATTAGGAAGACGAAAATCCAGTCTGTATGCCTAAATAGTTGTCAATACTAATTACCTGCGTATTTACTACGACTTACATACACACATGCCTTACCTGTCTTCGTAGGAGGTATGTAAGGCAAGGCCACACCTAAACTTGTCTTATACAATTTTATGTCACCTGGACATGTAACACCCAACAAATCACGGATACACAAACTCTTTCTTACCAAACGTGGCTTAATTTCCGGCTTAAATGACATGAATTGCTGAATTAATGAGCATGAAGGGGTACATACTCATAATTAGTGAAACAATCTATGCTGCATAAATACGATACTGATACATAATCAATAATTTATGCATTCTTGACTTGTCATCTGTGTAATATGTAAATCGTCATTTGGATTGAGGCGAGCGAGGAGAGACGACTTGGTGGTCAAAAATGCGAAGAAGAAGCAGGCCTGATTATTAATGGATATTAATCTCGATCATCTTGATCCACCCCTGCGAGAAATAGGTGGACGTCGACGCTAATGGGGTCTCATATCTGGATGGAATTTATATCGTCGTCCACGTCCACCTCTCAGGCAGGATCAGCAAAAATGATGTCCAGCAAAAAAAGCGTCTGACTCCACATAAACTTCGTACTTTTGGCACATGTCCCCTGCTTTGTTTTTGTTGTTGTCTTGCGTGATTCATTCATTCGAGTGATGATGCGTAGGTAAAGTAAAACTTGGATGAATTTGGCGTGGCGTGGCGTGTGGTGAGAGGTTTGCATGGAATGTAAAAGTGCTTATTATTATTATCATTTTTTCTTTGCTGTACTTCTTTCTTGCTGATCCAGTTTGGAAGATGTAAATCCTAGGCAGATGATGAAATGTTTTGAATTGCAGATGAGATGTAATTGGGGCAGGATTCTTGGAAGGGTTGAGATCGAATCGAGGTGGTGGGTACCTCTGGACTGGACATTTATATAAAAGACTTCTCCACTCGAGAGAATCAAATCAGTTCCAATTCGTCATCCAGTTTAAGCAAAGATTTAAACGGTAGAAATTTTCAGTCAAGATGAAAGTTTTGGTAAGGAAGGATTTTGAAAAAAAACAATAATTTTGGTCATAATTTTTGGCTGATTTTAAGAATCTGCTGTTTGAACGTAGATTCTTCTCGCCTTGGTCGGCGTTTCGATCGCGAAACCCGTGACGCTCTATAATTCGTGGCCGTTCGGGGGATACACGGCGTACAATGTTCCAACCAACGTGGTGTACAATTCCCCTGCCGTGACGTACAGTGCAGTTCCTGCTCCTGCCACGGTGACCTACACGACCCCTGCCTTGACCTATGCCCCCTTCGCCACCAAGACGCAGTACCATGCTCAAGATGAACTCGGTAAAATACAATTTTATCCAACTACATTCCCTCCAGGTCGAGACAACCACCACAAATCGTGTTAATGGTGGATAAGCGAGTGCAGACTTATCCCCCCACTATGCATCACTCCCAGAAGTTAATATTTTCATTTTCAGTCTCAATTTGACGCCCAAGTTGCACAATTTTGTAACTTGTAAATACTTAAGAAATGTTAAGTCGTGGGGGTGGTGACACGATTCCCAACTCGCATATCTACTTCCCAAGAGGTTGACACGAGTGGTGGTGGTTGGCTCAACTCGAGTACGATGACCACGGAAGCCGTGGGGACATAAGCATTATAGGGAGAGGTTTATATATACAGCATGGGCAGATGATGGGGGCATCGAATAACCTGTGGGGACATTGTTCCCTGTCCCCACGGCCACATATTTGTAATAACAATTGTTCTTTAATAATAACGATGGCTTCTTCTTAGGCCAAGCCTCGTTCGGTTATTCGCACCCCGGTCACGCCCGCGCTGAAGTGAGAGACGCTGCCGGAGGGGTTCGAGGGTCATACGCCTACATCGGAGCGGACGGGAAGGAAGTCAGAGTCAACTATGTGGCCGATTCCGTTAAGGGATTTCGAGTCGAGAGCAACGCACTTCCGGTAAGTGAAAATTTGATTGAATTGATTATCCATTGAGTATTGATTAATTGAGTGGATTATCTGCATTCAGGTCGGCCCAGCCGTTCCAGAAGTCCCAGTCCTCGTTGGTCCTGCTCCAGTTCAAGACACACCCGAAGTTGCGGAGGCTAAGGTAAAACAAATTCTAAAAAAGGCTGAAATTTCTATAAAATCCATTTTCATGCAACTGCAAACTGATTTGTACGCAAATTAATTCGCACTTGAGAATTGCAATAATTGTCAATTATTCTCGTCTGCTATTGTGCACGACAAATTGTGCAGTGAGTGTGGTACTTAAGCACATTGCATTAAAACGGGACATTGACGAGTTGGCAAACCTGACTATATTTGCACAAAAAGTAAATAGAAAATTACACTCGCTCTTATCCAAATTAAATCGGTTCGAAATATTCTTAAGAAATTTTCAAAGACTAATTTTTTAACGGGTGTCCAATTTATGACCGTCTTTTCATCCAATTTATTCCCGATTTGTATTAATTTTACGGCAGGCTCAACACGCCAAACTAGTGGAGGAAGCGATCGCCCGAAATGCCGAGGCTGACAAGAAGGACGCCGCCGAAGCTCCGAAAGAAGCCGAGAAAGTCGAGGAGGACGCCGCCACGGAGAAGAAGGGCGAGGAGGAGGTCAAGTCCAGAAGGAAACGTGGCGCCGTCTATTTGGCCAGCCCACAAGTTTACGCCGCCCCCGCAGTGACCTATGCCGCCGCCCCCGCCGTGACCTACGCAGCCGCTCCCGTCGTGACCCACCACGTGCCAACCTTGACATACGCTGCCGCCCCAGCCCTGACCTACTCGGCAATTGCTGCTCCTGCCGTGCGTGCCGCCACGTTGACCAAAGTCGTCAACACGCCCGGACACGCCGTCTCCTACAGAGTCGACTAAACCGGAAATGAAGATGCCTTTTTTATAGTTTTAGCCCGTTTTCTACTTTCACTTTGACCTTCTCTCTTTCATCTTGGTTCAAATTGTATCAACTTTCTCTCGACCTATATTTATCTCGTTTTTGTACTGTTCTACACTTTCTGTGACCTTTGACCTTTATTTTTTCTCTATTCTAAATCTTGTCTTGTTTCTCCTACGTTTAATTTCATTCGTCATTTTGGTGTAGCGAAGACTTTGAATTTTTCATGATTTCCATTCCACATTGAATTTGTGGTTCATGTTCTTATCTTATCGTACTATGCTTGATATTCAATAAAAATGGTTTTCCAAGTTTTGCTAATTTTTTTGAAATCATTGCCATTTATTCCACTTTCATTTTTTGGCCCATTGCATCAAAAGCCTGCAAAAGTGCAAATTCCACCACAATTAATACGCATAAATAAAATATTCGGGCATCCACGGTTTAAATTTATGCCTTTGTCTTCCAGTTACTTTATTTCAGAGCTGTCGGTAAAACAAGGAAGATGTTTTTTTGACATGGCTAAAACTTATTTGAATGTATCCACTCTAATAAAGCGTTAGTGTTAAGTCGCTGACTGAGTCCCTGTGGCTCTCAATGCAAGTTGCCCCGTAGAGGAGACAAAGAGGGAAGCGCATGCATAAATTTTCATACTGCATGAGTCTCACTTCGCCTGCACGTGACTTTCACGTACGTTCACTTGCCATCAAGCTCAAATTAAATGTTTTAATATATAAACACAGTGTGCAAGTAAATTGAGTGTGCAGTATACATACATACCATACATACATCACATCACTCATCAATAGTGGTTATCATGATAATGGATCTTAATAAACACTATTAATTAATTATTTTAGTTTGAGAAACTCCACCCACAGCGAGTGGCATATCAATTCGAATGTATTTTTGACGCTGAATCCAACGCCGTCAATAGTTTTGACCTGCGAGGCCCTCGTGACCTTGCCGTGACCGTGGGGGCTAAATATGGCTTATTCGTGATGTCGCATATCAATTCGAATGTATTTTTGACGCTGAATCCGAATCCGTCAATAGCTTGGCGTTAATTGTAGAAGTTAACGGGGTTTATGGAACTTAACGGGAGCGTGAAGCGGGGGAATTTAAATAGTTAGCTATGCAGTTACTCCCACGCGACGGGAATTTAAGTAATTAGCCATTCAACTACTCCCACAGGGGGAAATCAAATTGTACTGTGACCAGATTAATTAAAATGCAGTTGACCTGGGCAAACCCTCACTCTGATGTGTGTATTTGGTATGACAAAGTCTCCACTGGGAATTATTTAAAGTATAGTATGACGGATTTTTCGCTTTGGGCACACCCCCCACTGGAACCCTAGAACCCGGCCTTGGCCGGGCTAAACGCTAGTGTATTACATAAAGTGGAAGCCTTTCCACAACAAAACATGCATTGATAGTTATGATAATTATAATTGATAAGCACATTATGTTAAACGCTTTTATTAAAATAGCCTTAATATGTCACTCATAGATATCTTCCCAACTTGCATGTTGACTGGTATCATTTACTAGCCTAGTAGCCTGAACACAAAGTTACACATTGTAAATTACAATTTGTAATCGCTACTACGATGGTTTTAAATAGTTTTCAAATATAATGACAAAGAAAGAAATTGCATGATTTCATTTATCGCATAGTTTTGCACAAAATCAAATAGAATGAATATTGGATGGAATATTTTACATGCATTAAATCGTCCACATAGATTTTCCATGAAAAGCGTCTCAACCTAAGAAAATCCCTACGAAAATCCCAATTTGCATACTTATTTAGTTGATATGATTTTGACTTAATAAAAAAAGGTAGCAATTTTAATGACTGTCAATTGTCACACTCTTATAGTTTCAAGTCGGAAAATTTGAGCGAAATTAAAAAATTACATTCTTTGGTATTTTGTGCATACCAGTTTAGTTTTATAATAAACTGCGCAATATGGACGCCAAAATAAAATAAATACATCATCAGTATTATTTTAACATGGGATTTCCTTTTCCAGCAACTTTTCCATGAATAAAAATTATTTGATTGTAAAGCCTATCTAAAATTATGAAATTAAATTCAATGGATTTATAGAATTTTGCAAAACTATCAAATCTTTTGACCTGACTAAATCTTTGTGAATGTATGTATTACAAAAACATGATAACTGGTAAGTACGTTATATTAATTACTTCGACCCACCCGAATAAGTTTCAGAATCTCAAATTCCCCAAAATTAAAAATTAAAAACTTTATCAAAAAGTGCATTTGCAAATCTATACACAGAAAATGTAAAACAACTCTAACTGCTAACGTCCAGATTAAATTAGTTCCAAATATTTTTAACAATTTTAAAGTCAAATTACAAATTTATTTACTCATCTCAACTTTTATACAAATATTCTTCCATCCAATAATTGCTTTCCAATTTATTTATGGCTTGTACTAATTCTTCATAAAAAACAGGAAACTTGACATATTTACATTTCTCAATTTTAGTCATCATCCATTAGTAAAATTTTATCCTTTCTCAGAATTATAAAAAATTTTGGTTTCTTTTATTTCTCGAATTTTCTCAATCGGCAAGATCTAACGACCGGTTATTTATATGCTCGTCTCATCGGTTTGTAATATTCATTTTCATAAAAAGCAGGAAACTTTGCTCATTTATAGAAATTTCTGCAAAATTTTATATTTCTGAAAGGAATAGATTTCCTTCTCGAATCGTCGTTATACATATATCAATGTCTATATATGAGCAATGTCTATATGGATTTATTTATAGACCCAGACCCACGCCAACCACCACCACCACCACCGCTGGCTGACGAATTAGAAAATTGCTTAACGGTCACTTTCTGGCAAGCGAGCACGCAGTTCTTCCTCCGCAATCACGCAAAAGAAGGTTCTCGAAGCGTGGTCTGCTGCCTTCTTGCTGCCTGCTCGCTCGCCTCTCCTTCACTCTCTTCCCATCCTCCCTCTCGTGCGGATCGTCAGCCACATTTCTCCCGACTTCAAAGTTTCCGAAAAGTTGACCAATAGTTTCTAAACTTATATTTCCAATCCACCAAGTCTCCACCCCACACAGAATTCTACTGAACAAGGTGAGGGATGGTATTTCTTCACTTTTTGATGAAAAAAAGAGAAGAAAAGGTGAGTTAATTTCTAAAGGTCAGACCAAGGTGAGTTTTTTTCAAACGTTATTTTTGAGACTGATTGTGGAACAGAGAGATTTATGGGTTTGGTTCTTAGTTCTTAGATTCAATTCTAGTTTTAACTCTTATTATCTACTAGAGGAGGAAGGGATTGGTTGATTTTTGAAAGAAATCTCATTTTTTTGTAGACTGGTTGGTTGATTGGAAGAGAGAGAGGGATTTAATTGTTTTTTTTGTGGGTGTGGTTTTCAGATGGCTGACAGAGTGAAAGAACTCACGAAGCAGATGGACGACGTGAGGATGTCGTCGCCAGTGAAAAAGCGGCCACACCTCCCGCTCACTGAAGCCCGACCACTCCGCGTCAAAGGCGAGCCTCGACTCGACGTTAAAAAGATTTCAATCGTGGTGAATCACTATCCCGTAAGTTTGAATTAGTTGCTACTTTAATTAATCTAATTGGCTTATTAATTAATTTACTTGTAATATTGAGATATTTTCCTTTTCCCTTGTATTCCAGGTCACCTTCGAACGAAACTTTCCACAAACGCTGTATCATTACGACGCAGTAATTGAGAACGTTGAAATCATATCATCCGACCCGACAGCCGCTGCCGCCGCGAAGAAGCGGAAAGATGCTCAGGTGTTGAAGGCGGCGAAAGAAGGGCGCGAGATGGCTGGGCTCCCCGACCGGATGCTGCCCATCATTTGGAAAGAATTCGAGACGCAGTGCCAGGCCACCCTTAGGGCCACGACTCCCTTCGATGGGAAGAAGAACGTCTACACAGCCAGACGTCTGGAACTTCCGAACGGGGACGCCTTCACGGCCACCTTCGACATGGACGATCCTGACGACCCTGACAAAAGGAGGCGTTTTCGAGTCACGATTAAACGTAAGTAAAAAAAGCATGTCTAGCAAATTAAAACTTGAACACCCAACGTTTTTGAAATTCTAATTCATTCATCGATTTGTGTGCTAATGTAAAAGTAATTTCCTCCCTTCATTAATTCCTTAGTGGTCGCGACAGTTGCCACCAACTCTGTGATCGAGTTTCTTGGATCAGGGCTGGAGAGGGGCAAGCAGGTTGTCCAGCCTCAGGATGTGATCCAGGGCCTCGACGTAGCTCTCCGACATCCTCCGTCCATGCACTTCATCAGCTGCAACCGCAGCTTCTTCAATCCTTTCCCACAGAACAGACATCCGCTGGATTCAATGTTGGAGTTGCTGCACGGCCACTACCAGTCGTTGTGCCTCGGATCCGAAAATACTGCTACTCTCAATATTGATTGTAAGAACGATCCACTTAATTAATTTCGACTGCTTGATATGGAACTCTTGTTTATTTTGCAGTGGCGACCAAGGCGTTCTATAAACAAACGCCACTTGCAGACTTTGCTCGCAGTGTTTTAAAGTTGCACAAGGATGACTCGCTCGACCTTGTTTGTTGGGACGACCGAACGATTGATGTGGTCTCGGAAGCTTTGAGAGGTAAGGGTGCATTACACTCCCTAATAATTGCAGAACGTAGTCTTACAGTGGATTATTTTTGTGTGCAAGGCAAACTCATCAAATATGGAACAGGACGTTGCAATCAGAAAGGTGTCTACGAGAAGTACCACCAATTCACGGCAAATGGGCTGATCTTGCGGTCCGCGGAAAATTACGAGTTCAACATGACAGACGAAAAGGGTATCACAAGGTCAATCAACATTGTCCAATACATGCAAAAATTCAAGAACACGACCATTCGCTTCCCCAAATGGCCCGTGGTGCATATTGGGAATAAGAACATGACGAACTACGTGCCACTGGAGCTGTGCATGATCATCACGCAGCCGTATCGCGGAAAAATGGAACCCAAGCTCACGAGCGCTATGATCAAAGGCGCTGCCATCGAGCCAGTGGCTCGTTTCAAGGCAATCGATCAAGCGGTAAGAAATCCTCGATTTTTTAGTTAAAATTTGAGCTCGTATAAAATTGATAGTTAAAAAGTTAAGATATTTATTATTTTGCCCTGTATTTGCAGAGAAAAGGGAGCAAGTTCGAAACGTCTGCAGTCATGTCAGAATTTGGGATGAGCATTGGGCAGACTCCTATCGTGATCAGGGATGCGTCCGTTATTCCACCGCCTACGGTGAAAACATTGGC